GGCAATGAATATACAATGGTGAAAGGATCATTTGATTTGGTGATGATGTTGATTTCTTTATGCAAGATTAAGGATGTCAGGCACTTGATTGGTTGTTTTGCGTCGTAGGAGTTAGAGTTGGAGTTGGGTTAGCGGCAGCCGGCAGGAGTACTAAATGTACAAAAGAACTAATCATAGATAACGTTTGGAATATACGGTTAGGACACACCAAATAATCAAACATGACAGTTGACAAATAGTTAAACTGTCGATGAATAAACATTTTGAGTCACTAAATAGTCAGCCATGATGTACTTGCGAGGAGTAAATGTACAAGAAAAAATAGGGCAATATACATTTGTATAGCCAAAACTTTTGCGTTTGTGTCAATAATAGCCAAATTTGAAGAAATACCAATTATAGCCAGATTTTGTATAGGGTGTCGGACAAATATAGCCATTTCCGTTAGATACTTTAACGGTGTCATTGACGCCGTCAACTTCTTTGACGATTTGCTGACTAGGCCCCAATTCATCGCACACGTCAGCACCAAATAAGTCAAAAGTAACACGTCACAATTAAAAATTATTTAATAATTACATATCATAATTTAATAAAATAATTACTTTAATTTTCCCAAATTTCTTCATCTCCCCGACTCCCTCTCTTCTCTGGCTATCAATTCTCCTGGATCCCCAAATTATCACACCTCCGTTTGATTTCCTTCTCCTTCGCCTTCACTGCTTTCCGTCTCTTCTCCACCTCGAGCTCACTGGCTCTAAGTCTCTAACCCTAATCCTTCTTTCCTCAATATAGTTCCCTAGCGTCTCGAGTTGCTCTTCTCTTTCCCGGAGCTCTATGAGCTTCCGCTCTACCGACTCCTTTCTCGGCGTCGAAATCATTCCTCGACTTGATCAGTTCCAGCAACTCCGTCATTTCCTTCTCTCTCGCGTCCAGCACCAGGGACCTCAGTTCCTCTCCGCCTCCCGAGCCATCTTCAGTAGCTCGTTCTGTTTCCTCTCGAGCTCCTTCGATCGGTCGTCCATGGCGGCGATTAGGGACTCGAAATGAATCTCGATCTGTCGGCGGTGGCGAAGAGTTTCCGGTAGGGAGGGTGGATTCAACTCCCACAAGTTGTGCTCGTTTGAGATCTCGCCTCTAGTCCCATATCTTCGATTTCCCCAATTCTCGCCGATTTAAGTGTTGCCAAAATCGCCCCACAAACACTGATATGCGAAAGAGGACTCTGCAAATCCCTAACCTTGGGCCGCCGATTAACCTAACCAGATTTGGGGTTTTTTGCAAATTCGCAACAGAGGATCTCCGTCGCCGGTTTCGTCTCCGCGTTGGCAACCGAGGGATCTCCGCCGCCGACTCAATCTCTCTCGGCGACTGTCTTACTGATGTTAGCGTTGAGACTGTCTCTGATGGCATCGACGTCGGGACTGTGAGAGCTGGCCAACCGAAACAGGGGAGAAGAGTATCAAAAGGAATTAGAGTGAGATTTAGATGAGATTTTTGGATTGTTGAGACAAGAGATTTTACTTTGATTTCTGGTTTAAGATTTCCATTTAAAAGTAGATCTAGAGATGAATCTGATGATGAGAGTTGCGGCTCTGGCCTGTGGGAGAGAGAAGGGAAAAGAAGAGAGAGAGAAGAGAAAGAAAATAAAATGATTTGTGGGTTTTAACTTTTACGGAAGGGGTTTGTGGTGGGTTTATTAATTTTTTATTTTTTATTAATCTATGTGGCAGTGTTATTGATATAATATTGCCAAGTCAGTATTTCCGTTGTTAGATGACACCGTTAAAGTATTGGACGGAAGTGGCTATAAGTGGTATTTCTCCAAATTTGGCTATTATTGGCACAAGTGCGAAAGTTTTGGCTATACAAGTGTATTTTGCCAAAAAATAGAAAAAGCCGAGACTGCCACCAGAATTATTTCCTCCAAAATCGCTCCACTCAATTCACGGCCACTTCCATCTCCCACACTTGTCGAATCAATGTTTGACAATTGCCAAAAAAAAAATTAACAACAACAATACCACACATTATACACCAATTTAGTGCATAAAATCAGTAGTTTCATCAGAAATTGATCAAAACAATACATGCGTAGTGTTTGCCGAAGGCAAATAATAGTGTGTCATTTGGAGAAAACCCAACAAAGTCAATAAAAATCGTGCAGTTTTTTACATGCAGTTGATATGTCTTAGGAGGGCTGCTAAATTTCTTTATCTTATCAAATATAATCGTGCAGTTTTTTACGTCCTCGTGTATTGTCAATAAAAATGGTATATCTTTCTCCTCTGCAAACTCACAAAACTTTACTGTGTTTTATAGGGTGATAATTTTGACCTTACTTGTTTGTTTCACTCGGTTCATTTTAGTTAGGCATATAATGTGGAACGTCATGACTCATGATAAATTTGTCCTCCTACCACTATGTTTCGTTTTGTTCGCTTTTGTCTTGAGTAATTAGAGTTTTTTCCAGAAATAGCACCTTTAAAAAAAAAATTACAAAACTAGCACCCTCTCAAAAATATTTACAAAACTAGCACCCTTTTTTATTGACCGCACCCTCGTGATGCGATTTACATATAAACCGCATCCCCCAGGTGCGTTTTAATGTAAACCGCACCTGGAGGGTGCGTTCTAATCTGGTGGGCCTAAATCGCACCTTGGCAATGCGTTTTCATGTCTGGCCTACATGAAACGCATGGCCGAGGTGCGGTTTAGGTCTGACCTACCTAAACCGCATCATAGAGATGCGATTTATTCCTCCAAGAACGAACCGCATCTGTAAGGTGCGGTTTAGCCATATAGATCGCACCCCCCAAGTGCGGTTTAACCTTGTAGATCGCACCCCCCAAGTGCGGTTTACGTGCCAATTATTTTCCTGCCACCCGACAGCCATGCAGAGAATTATGGACGTAGGGCTGCATGGCTGACTAAAACCGCACCCTAGAGGTGCGGTTTTCACAATTTTTTCCCCTATATAAGACTTGCCGGAAAACCTCTACTCTTCACACCTCTCATTCTCTCTTTCATTTTTCTGTTGTATATCTATATTTATTTAGTGTGTTTGCCATTAAGATTAACTCGTAAGTTTGTTTTTGTTACTTTTTATGCCATTAACATTAACTCGTAACTTTATCTTGTGTTACTTTTTATGCCATTAACATTAACTCGTAAGTTGATTTTGTTTGACTTTTTATTGTGATTTGTGATTTTGATGATATTAACTAAACTACGGTTTGTTTGTGTGCAGATGGCATTCCGTCAGTTAACGCTTGGCTTACGGTGGAATGGTTACACGGAAGAGACCGGAAAGGGGGCCACCTACGTCGGTGGCAATTTTCAGAAAATAACGGTCGGTACCAGACCGAAGCTTGAAGACCTCCATCAAATATGCACTGACGCAACTTGCATGGATGGCACGAGGAGGGTAGATCGTATGGTGTACCGATACCCAAACAGAGCAACTGGGTCATTGTGGCATGAGGAATATACCATAACCACTCAAGATGACCTAGATTCCATGCTCGAATTCTTGTGGTCCAACAAATTGGCCAAAGCCGAGATGTTCGTTTACACCGAGCCAGTCGTTGGTGTTGGACGTCATTCTGGACACGGTCAAACATCTGGTATCCATGGTGGAGGTGAATTATATGACGATCATCCCTACCAAAGTTACCATGATCCTCAATCCTATTTTCAGTACCAAGATGGAGGGCAAGGTGCTGGCCATCATCAATCTTTCTCGTCATATGAAGAAGAAGTTCAACCGGACATCCCCAACCAAGCCCAGTACAACTTCCTGACAGGCAGCGGTAGTTTTCACAACTACCATTATGGAGCTGATGAAGGTTCCTTTCATGAGCAGGATCAGATGGATTCTGCCACACCAGCACCAGTCAGCGACCCCTCTGATGAAGAAGGAGAGAACAACGTCAGTGCAGACAGCTCAGACCCTCTTGAAGGTGCTGATGATTCAGCACCAGATTCAGATTCAGATAATGATCATGATGTGGCCGCTGACCGTGTACCAGTCCCCTACTACAATCACATTCCAGACGACAATTGGATGGTCGACAACGACATGGAGCCGCCAGAGGTCCCAATATGGGGCCCACTCACTGGGTTTACGAAGGGCCAACAATTTGGCTCGAAGAAGGATGTGCGGCACGCCCTTGAGACTGAAGCAATGACTCGGCATTTTGAATGGCACACAACTCATTCCAACACCAAAAGGCTCATAGTCAGATGCCGTAATCATCACGAGGGGTGCAATGTTAGGATTCGGGCCATCAACAGCAAGAGACACGACCACTGGGTCATATCCCGTGCGGTCAACACACACACATGTGTGTCATCCATCACTTCCCAAGGCCATCGACAGTTGAAATCCAGGGTGGTTGCTGCGGCTATAAAACATAATTTTATTATCATAAAAAGACATTTCATATTACCTCCCTCCCATTGTCAATGAATAATAATTTCAAGAGGTACATACATATTATCGTAAAACAAACATACTGAATTAATTAACATAAATAACATTGTTAATGAATAATAATTTAAGTAGAAACATACATATTCAAATGTTTGTGTAAATAATTTAATCGTATTAGTTGTTTTAAAGAGGTACATACATATTATCGTAAAACAAACATACTAAATTAATTAACATAAATAACATTGTTAATGAATAATAATTTAAGTAGAAACATACATCTTCAAATGTTTGGTAAATAATTTAATCGTATAGTTGTTTTAAATAATTTAATCGAATACAAAGCAACACTCGTTAGACTCTTAGAAGAGGTATACATCTTCTTAGAAACGCAGTCTTTTTGACAGAAAAAAGGGGGGATCCGAGGATCTCTTAATACCCGATTTTCCCAGGTAATGGGAGGATATGATAATCGCTTAAAACCCCATTTCCTTAGACGTGCATCTCTTTATAAAGAGTCGAAGTAAGTGGCGCTATGTATTCGATTAAATTATTGAAAATCACCAACACGATTAAAAAATAAACATAAATTTATTTTATATTACACTAGGCACATTAACAAAATAAAAGAAGGACAAATGGTGAAGAATTGTATGTACCGGGTGATCGTTCCAAACATCCCTTGACCGATGGTTGGGTTGGTCGTACAAGTCGGTTGGATCCACCGGTCCTTGCTCGAGATAATATCGTTGGTTGTATATATCGACGTCCTCCCCAACCTACGAGAAAATAACAACGAGGTTAGTACATAGATTAATTAAAAAACTTATAACAACAATAAAAATTAAACCAGAATAATGAGTACATACCGCTTGAAATTCATCGACATAAACTCCTTCTCCTTGCCACCAATCGGCCATTTTTTTGGCGTAATTCGGACAGAGCTTCGGCTTGGCTCGGCGGGTTTTTGAGGAAAAAACCTAAGAAATATTTTCTGATGGCAGATCGGACTTAGTCGCAACCAACAGACTTTTATTTCCTAGGCTTTTGGGAGGGGAGGGTTTAGAGAGATTATATCTAGAGAGAGAAGGAGAATGGGTTGTGTGGAGTGAAGAAATGAGAGGGGGAGGGGGGGTATTTATACCCAACAGATCGCACCCCTCATGGGCGGTAGGGTAATTTTACCCCGCAGAAATCGCATCTTCCCGGTGCGATCTACACGCCAAATCGCATTCCCCTGATGCGATCCCCGCGTCCCGATGCGTTGAACGCGCAGAAAACTGACGCTCCAATTTTCCAGGCGAGAAATCGCACCTCACCAGTGCGATCCACACACAGTCGCGCGGATTGCTGACGTGGCTATGCTGCAGCCCGTCAGATCGCATCTTAATCGTGCGATCCAGAAGGTCGCTGGCGACCAAATATGGAACGCATCTTGGGGATGCGTTTTACCTTAGAAAGCGCATCTTAGGGGTGCGATTTATGAAGGAAACGCATCCTAAGGCTGCGTTTCATTTATAAAACGCACCCCTAAGGTGCGTTCCATTAAAATAGGTGCTAGTTTTGTAATTAGTTTTGGAAGGGTGCTAGTTTTGTAAATTTTTTTTAAAGGTGCTATTATTGGAAAAATCTCGAGTAATTATGTCTTATTTGTATGTAATAGTAGTTATTTCAATATATTTCCAATTACAAATCTGCTGAATTATAATTTGATTATAATGTAGCTACTGCTTAGTGGAGCTAAATTAATTAATTAAGCTACCTTCGACATATGATTCGGGACCCAAGTGGTCGGTCTTATAGTTAAGACTTGTTAATTTTGTCATTTGATACGACCAATCTCGTTGGTTCTTGATAACATTTATAATCTTCCTCAACCGATGATGGATTCTTTTGGTACGGAATGAATATATAATGGTGACAAGTGGAATCAACTCATTTGATGATTAAGGATGTCGAATATTTTTAAAATGGAAGATTAAGGATGTTAATTTATTGGTTGGTTGTTTTGTAAGATTTGGAGTTGGATTAGGGGTCCAATGTTTCTTTACTCTTATGATACTTATCCTGCAGTTTATTTAACTTCATCATATAGAAAAAATAATTTAGTCAAAAAAAGCGGAGAACTTTCTTCTCATTTTTCATATCAAAATGAAAGTTTGTTATACTTTATACAATGACACTTTTAATATCGTATTGTCGAGATTAACCTATTACGAATTGTTCGAATGAGTAATGTTGGGCATAATGAGAAATATTTGTTATTTCGCTCCTTCCTCTCTAATGTAGTTAATATAAAAATTAATCTTTTGACTAGTTCTACTATTTTCTTCAAAATGCACATTAAAATGTCTATGTAATACAATCTCATGCTTCAAACCAAACTATCTTACCTGACTTGTGTCACATATTGAACAAAAATTATGAGTAATGAAATATCTATCCCTCTTTAACTCATTGTCAAGAGTGACACGAATAACACTATTATAACAACACTATCACTATCAAAGTAAAGATAGCCTAACGGTAAAGCTGCCGCGACAGTGAAGGCTTGGGAGTTGCAGATCCCAGGTTCGAATCCAATCGAGGCCCGTTGGTGTTCCCGGAGGTACAAGGTAATCGAGGCCTGTTGGTGTTCCCGGAGGTACAAGGTTACTAGGAGCGAAGCCTAATTGACATCGAATTTAATTGCAGATGGCCCCAAATTTAATAAAACTCGCTGTCACAAAATGACAAGCGGGGCTGAGGTTCCTGTGTCATGTAGAAACCCATTCTATTATTTCTTTTGCAGCGCCATACAAATATCTTCACTACCGGCAACATTTATCTTGTTGCTTATCCACCTAATCGAGCTTTGCTGAAAAGAGTTCCAAGAAGACAAGTCTCACAAGGTGGCACCTACCCAATCAGATTGTCCGTAGCCGACATGTCGGCACCAATACGGGTCCCAGATCCCAATTAACAAACACGTGTACAAATTGTAAATACTATGCAGGTAACAGACTTAGGAGTGGAAATTGGGATGAGTGTGGTTACCCACAAAAATTCATCTTTGAAAGTATGGAGTTGAGGCCGCCACCAACATATTTGTTGTTCGTAGAAAGATTATAATGATATACATTGTTTCACTCGTGGAGATATACTTTTATATATCGATCTTATTCAACGAGGATATTTTTTCTTTACAAGTTTGGTATTCAACTTTTGTGTCGGGGAACTGTGATTTCAAATATGATATTGTATTTTCTTTCACACAAAAGCAAAAACATACAGATAAAAGTTACTAAAGGTGTCAACTTTTAATGAGTCGATTATTTTCCACTCTCTCGATTATAGTGTTTTATAAACTAAAAAATTCTCACTTAAAATTGCTTAGATGCGTATTTGATTATGTGGCTACTTTAGTTTTTTGCCTCCCACTTTTCAAATACTATTATGTTATAAATTATAATTAGTAAATAAATATAATTAATGTGATTATTATAGATTTTGTGGGTTAACCGCAGTGGATAGTGGGTAACCACTAACCACAAAAGTTATTATTTTACTACCCACACCCAACCCACTACCCACAACTTGTGGGTACGGTTACCCACAATGGGTGCAGATTGGTGCGGTTTGCGGGTTATCCACAACCCGCAACCCAAACTTCCACCCCTAAACAGCACTACAGAAGGTAAAAAGTATCACGGTTCTACTTTAGGAATTCAGCTACAAGCAAAGAGCTAACCAGGGGCGGATACTAGGGATGGCAATTGGCCGGGTTGGGGCAGATTATGTCAAATCCAAACTAAACCCATGGGTTTATCCACCAAAAAACTCAAGGTAAAACTCACTGGATTCGGAAACTCAAATCGAATCCAACTCAGTGGGTATTAATTGAACGTGTGAGGAATTAGTTTAGAAATTATAGCTAATTAGTTAAGGGTTCCGTGGGTTGTGGGGAGTATGGACTTGGGTGCGGGTATCCACGGTTTGGATATGGCTAAACCCAAACCCAACCCGCAAAAAAGTATAGCGGGTTTAAACCCGAACCCGGCCCGCAATCTGTCAAAGCGGGTTGTACCCGCGTTGATAGGGTTGGGTCGGGTAGGGTACCATGAATTCGGGTTCTACTGCCATCACTAGCGAATACATGAGGCTTTAAGGTGTCCCAGGACACCCCTAAATTTTGGGAAACGATTATTCAACTCCCATTAGTTTGGTAGGATAAAAAAAATTATAATTAGTAATTTGGGACACCCCTAAAACGATTATTCTATCCTTCGTGCGTATGATTAAAAAAAATATAAGTGGTAGTTTGTGTTATTCAAACATAGGATACTACTATTTTTAAACATTAGTATCCATTAGGTTGCAACTCATTTGTTGCAACCTAATGGAGAGCTTAGTGGTTGTTCTATTTTAAACACTACGTAATAGTAAAAACTAAAAATGCTATTCCTTATCCGCAACTAATTCCAAAACCTAACAATTAAATTAATTACAGGCTACCCTCAATTTGAATTGCTTTTATGGTTACACGACAAGTGTTGAAATCGAATATGCGATTAGTTCGTGAATTATTGTCTGATATGATATACAGATTTGTTGAGGAGTGTACCGAGTATATTTCATTTTTTTCAGAATATGAAAACACATTATAACCTTTTGTTAATATTTATACTAGTCGGATATTTATTTTTATCTAATAGTTATTTGATCTAATTTTTTAATTTTTAATTTAATATAATTTTTGAAAAAGAATACCTTTATAAAAAAATTCTTGATCCGCCACTAAACCTACCATCGCTTAATTTCAAGCATTGTAAGAGCTGAAATTATGCAAGTGTGATTCGACAGTCGAGCAATTCGACCGAATTCAAGGTTGTGGACAATTTTCATGAGCCGACGCCGCGCCATGTAATATATCATTCTGGTTCGGTCTCTGTGGCAGATGGATCAGAAAAGAACAAAGAGAGGCAGGTAAACTAAACAAACGTGCTTGGAAAGTGACAGCAGACGTGTCTCACTCTCCCAGTCTCCACCTCCCCTTTGCTCTGCATCTCAGAACTCGCTCCTCTGTCTCCACTTCGCACTCTGCCACTTCCCCCTTTTCCCTCGCCTGCATATTTAAGAGTGTCCCCTCCCTCACTCAACCCCAACCAACCGAAGTAGCCATTGATAGAACACATCAACCAAAAAAAGATAGCCAGCCACTCCTCCAGTTCTCTGCCCGGCCCCTTTTCTTCTTTCCCCCGTGTGGCTCACGAGCTCGCCACCACCACTAAAAGCAAGCATACCCATCAATATTCCAACCAAGGCAAAGAAACCCATCACAAGAAAAACAAAGACGGAGAGTGGGTTTCAGATAAAAAGCGCCGAAAAGGGGTGGGAAGAAGGAAAGAAGAGACATTTATTATGGACACAGGTTTCAGCACTGCTACTGCAGGGGCCACTCAGTCTCATCATCATGGTCATAATCACAATCATAACCATGGGCAGGTGCTGGACGGTTCGGATATAATGGAGTTGGTTGGGAACGAGAAAGTGTTTAGCAGCTTCGTCGATCATAAGTTCTCTGAACTTGATAGAGACAGAGACGGCCAACTCTCCGTCAAAGAGCTCCACCCTGCTGTTGCTGATATCGGCGCTGCACTTGGCTTGCCTGCTCAAGGCTCTTCCCCTGACTCGGATCTCATCTACTCCGAGGTCAGTCCACTAAATCCCCTTCTGGGTCTGCTTGTTCTAAGCTCTTTCCTTTCTGGGTCGGTGTGTATTTGGCCAGGTAGCTTGTTATTGTATTGTCGACAAACTGTTTGATGATATGCTTGTGAGAAGCCCCGGTTAAATTTTTGAGTAATAAACACCAATGCTTAATTGCTTCGCTTTGATGTGTCGAGTGGTGGAGTGGTACCACCCTGTCGTATACCCAGAAGTTTGAGGAGTGGGTGGCAATTGGGGGATAGAGAATGACCATAGTTGCCTTCAACCCAGTGTTTGGTTGAGACTTGAGATAAGTTAGGAGAAGTTACGTGTGATTTTGACTTCCACCGCTTTTGATACCGTCTGATTATTTTATTCCCAGCTTAATAAAGTGATTAAACAACAACAAATCCATCCAATCACGTTAGCTGTTTTGTGTTGAATTCCCATGCAATCGTCATTAGCTAAGCTTTCCTTGTTTGAAGTGGTGGCCTTGTGGGTTGGCAGTTCCATGCCGGATTCTTTCCCTCTTCCGGCTACATCCAGAAACTCCCAGCCGGCCCAACTCCATTTTTTCAAACCTGGTCGGTGTGTTTGTTTAAAAAAATCTGGTCTTGGCTTCGTCTTTTCCCCCACCTACACGACTTTTATCTTGGCCATACCTCCTTTTTCCTTTTGGCTTTTCATCTTTACCTGTGACTGTAAGGTGGAATCTAAGGCCGAAAGTTTTAGGCAAATTGTTGCTCTTTCCCCTTCACTATGTACCAATAAAGTCAATTGCCATCATTTCTGGTGATGGCGATAAGGATATCGAATGACTTTGGCCTACCTGTTTTCATGAAGGCTCAGTAGGGAGACCCGATACTACAAGTATACCCTGTTTTCCAAGAAGTTGCTTGGTGAGAAAGTGATAAGGTTTTGGTACCTAACATGTTAAACATCGTGCCTTTTTCCTTGGACACTATAAATTACAGGTTAAGATAGAACAAGGACCACCAATGTACTAAAGAAGTTTTGGAATTTTAGGAATCCCAAAACTTCGTGGCAGGTCTCTCTCGTTTCAATGTCTTACATAGTGGATGGGCCATTTGGTTTATTGAAGATAAAGATATAATTGTCCCTTTGTTCCTTTGTCCACACTCAGAATCCCATTGCTGCGCGTGCCAGCATTTGAAGCTGATAAATAGTTAAATACTTTTGAGTTCCTGGGTACTAAACTTTCTTTAAGAGGTACAATGTTTATGTGAGTATAAGTCTAGAAGAGTACCTTCTTTTGCATGTGTCATGTTTCTAGGTTGATCACGATACATGATCATTGGAAAGATGTAAGCTTTTTCAATATATTGCAATTCTGCACATTTTTATTTGTAAGCTTCTGTGTGTGTTTCTTCCTCCATTAGATCACTCAAATCTTCTCTTTTTTACTTGATTCCATAGGTTCTAAATGAGTTCACCCATGGAAAGCAAGAGAAAGTGAGCAAGACCGAGTTTAAAGAGGTTCTGTCAGATATTCTGATAGGCATGGCTGCAGGTTTGAAGAGAGACCCTGTGGTGATACTCCGTATCGATGGAGAAGACCTGTTGGAGTTCATCAATGGACCAGGTTATGAACCAGAGATGATTTCAATCTTCTCAGAGTTGGAATCACCTGATGCTTGTTCACTCCATGATTGCATAGTCAAAGCCTTCAAGAAACTTACAGTCGATCAGGGGATACCTCCCTGCTCAGATTCTTGGGTAAGGCTGCTGGCACCAATTATCTCATCGTTCCACATGTTATCATCATCATCATCTATATTAGTGAATGGGATGACATGTCAACATGGCAGGTGGTAAGTAACATACTGGAGCCATCACTGCAATCAATTGCTGACCAAGAACAGGACAAACCCGTTGCTTCTCAGGAGGCATTCTTATCTGAATTCAAGAAAGCAGCTGAATGTGTGGCTCAACGTCTGAAAGAGCAGCCTGTCATCGTCGCACACACTGAGAACACTTTTGATGGAAGTGGGATTAGGAGACTTCTATCCAACAAGTTTGAACTAGACAAGGTAGATTACCAGTCGCTTTTTACCATACATCACATTGCTCCTCGCACAACTCCGCAGGATGCCCATTTCTCTCCTTTAATTCATACAGGCGCTGAACTCAACGCTAGAAAATGTGCCAAGAGATAGGACTGGGAAGATATCCAAAGAGCATTTGCGGATGGCACTTGATTCAGTTTCTCCATCAGCTGGTCTACCACCAATTGGTGCAATCGAAGAGGTAACATTCCCTCCTAAACTCGCTTCAGCTGAAGAAGTTGGTGTAACATACTGACGTAGTTTTGGCGCCTGGAATTTACCACCAGATGGATCAGGTGCTGAACGAGGCGTTTAAGATGGTGAATGCCGACGATGGGAAGCAGCTGAAGGAGGATGAGTTCAGGAAGGTGGTGGCTGAAATGCTGGGAAGTATAATGTTGCAATTGGAAGGGAATCCAATCTCAGTCTCTTCAAACTCTGTTGTCCATGAACCCATCGCCTCTGCCTCCACAGTTTTGCAGCCATCTTCCTAGTTCTCCAACAGTTTTAACGGTCTCTAGAGTCTGGTATAGTGATACTAATAATAACCGCTGTTTCTGGTGTTACTCTGGAATGGATCAACTGACCAGACAGAGTTCTTCACCACTTGCTGCTGTAATGTGTTGTTTTGGTTGGTGTACTAAAACACTAAAAGCTTGTGCTACTCATTCTATGGATGAAATGTTTTCCTGTAAAGATGGAGCCTTTGGAAGATGGTTTTGTGTTCTGATTATGTATTTCTTTCCTTGCATTTCTTGTTTTATGACATTTGATTTGGGTTTATGCCTCAATTGGCGTTAGGTAAAAAAAAAAAGAAAGGGAATCCGGAGAGAAGAAGAAGATACAGAGAAGAGATTTTAGGTAGCGAAATATAATTTCAAATGATACTTTCAGTAAAAACTAAATTTTAGGATAAAAATGTAAAATATAAAATAATTAAATTTTTTAATTTTTTAACTATTGATGAATTTACTAATTCATTTGGATTGAATCGTTCAATTCCACATCTTGGGGAGAAAGGCTCAATCAATTTATAGAGTAGAAGATCGCCCACAATCGAGGAGAAAACTCGATTGATACAGACTGACAAACTGTAAGGAAAGAAAACCACGAAAAAAACTTAAGAATCCTTCTCCAACTTGGTTACTTATTGACTTCCTTTGCAAGTAACAGAATCAGCATCCATATCATCTTCAAGCCTCTCAAATGGTGTCCTTCAAGCTCCATTCCTCTCATCCAATCCCTTCACGATCTTTATTAACAGGACTTGCACTGTAACGACTAATACCTAGCTCCACTAAGTAGGGATGACAAAAATATCAGTAACCGTGGATATCCGCCCGAATCCGGCCTAATCAGGTAGGATAAAATCCGAACCCGAAGGACATTTAGTGGGTACGGGTAAAATCCGAACTCGAATATTGCGAGTAATGGGTGGGCATGGGTTTCTCACTATCCAACCCGAACCCGCCCGATTATACACATGCATATGTATTTTGTCTAGAAACAATCAATATTTTTCTCTAGCATATTTTATATTTAGCATATAAATATAATATTTTCATGAAATGGTGTAGTTTTAATTAATTTTCTTCATTCTAGTGAATTATTGTCGTACTTTTCCTCTTACGTAATGTGAGAATACGTATGAAGTAACATATTGGTTGAAGTTATGAAGATAAATTATTACCCATGGATAACCGTGGATACCCGAAAGCCGAACGGGTATGGGCATGGCTTTGATTTTCTACCCATTTCACATGTGGGTATGGGTATGGGTAAAACCCGAACTACTATGGATAGGGTAACGAATATGCACTATCCGCGCCCGACCCGACCCATTGCCATCCCTACCACTCAAATACCTTTTATGATGAAGATACACACTCCCAAAATAGATATATCACAAACCAAATTTCATACTTAGTCAAGTTCAGCTCTCTTTTCTTTCATAATACGCACTCTCCCTTAGTCCCTTACTCCCTTTGGCATCAAGGGAAATGCACCTAGGTCACTTTTGGTGCTTGCAAGTTATTTAGATGAATATAGAGGACATAGTTTTAAAGGAAAATAATATCGTTGATACGAAAGTAAGCCGTTATCTACCCTTATCAATTCGTGGCTCCATGACCACCATCGATTTTATGCATGAACTAAGACCTATATATAAACAAGGTGTTTGAAATTTCCTTTTTCTTACTCTCATGTATGTACCTTGTGCTAAATCTATAATCTCCAATAAGAATTCAATCTTCTTAAACAGGATCACCAAAAACCAATCTAGACGCAAAAACTTACCACTCATGTCTTTCTCCCTAACAAGTAAACGAATCCAAAGAATCAAATCTATAAATTGGGGACGAAAAAATCAAAGTGCCCACAGAACCTCCTTCAGAGCTTTTGAGTCCAACTAAATCCAGTTAATTCAAAAACCACATTTCCACTAAACCCCTGAAGCACCAATCGATCGATCGATATGGCCACAATTACCAATTATCTTTTCTCTAATCTGATCGTCGTGCTGATGCTTGCCACCAAAGGTAGGTAAATTCCATTAGCATGCCCAAACCCTTACCCAATACAATATCGGTGTTTGATCACGTTCTTTCGTTCGTGGTTAATTGTTGTTGCAGGGTTGTGCATCTGTGATCTGAACGGCGTGACGATCGGGACGACGAGGAGCGGGAAGACTCGAGAAGGCGAGCTGCAGTGGGACGTGGAAGTGATCAACAACTGCGCGTGTCCCATCAGCAACCTGGTCGTTTCCTGCAAAGGTTTCGCCAGCAGCCTGAAAGTGAACCCGGCTCTGTTTCGGCAGGAAGGCGGCGACAAATGCGTCGTCAATGGCGGCAACGCTATTGCTCCCAAGGCTTCCATCAGGTTCTCTTACGCTTGGCACAGCCCCGCCATTCTCATTCCGACCAGCCTTTCCAGCACTTGCTGATGATGATTTCAATTTTCAACGGCATGATTATCGATCGGTAGAGGGATGGATGTGCAAGTTAGTCAATGGAGGACGTTCTATAATAGAAAATGGGAGTAGTTGCTCCATGTTTCAATTTCTTTTCCAAATGTGCTACCTATATCTATCTAAGTTGGAAACTCTAGACCAATCAGTACCAATGTCTTTATACGATGAATAAAATGAATTTGTTCAAGAATCGTTAATAATTTCTCTGTATTTGAAGTATTTCTAAGTCAAGTACGTCTCCCTGAATTAACTAACAAGACGAAGTTATATATTAGTAGAAAAATATTAACTAGTAAAATTTGATGATTAAATTATGGGATTTGTTTGCACGATTTTTGTCGGTGATAACGTAGATGGTTATTTATAGGGGTTCGTGCTGATTTTAACCTTTTTGTTTGTCATTTAATTTGGTTAAATGGTTCTCTCGCGTCCTTGTTATGTACGATAACTTTTCTAATGGTGAGATTTCGTTCCAACATTGATAAGTTAATACACAACCTATAGATCATTCTTTTCCTTTACATAAGTTATGAAATCCCGTTGTAACAAATTAAATGTGTCGCCTAATCTATCATTTTTCGAAAGAGATTGATCGTTGTTTCCATGTTACTCAGGATTTACCGTAGTTAGCAAACTTTCCGCAACGGTATCAGGAACATAATAATTTGCCGCAAGGAAAAAGGACAGTAACGCTAAATAAACAACTTTCAACCTTGTTTTGGTTGCCTCTTTGGCTCTCACTTATTCACTCACTCTATTTCATGGAAATGCTCCCGGGGAATAATTTTGACGTACAAAGCAAACGCCACAGCAGCAACAGCAGGCCCAATCCAGAACACCCAGTGCCCATCCCAAAGATGCCCGCCTCTAACAATCGCCGGGCCCAAACACCTCGCCGGATTAAACCCAGCTCCGGCGTACCCTTTCGTCGCCGTCACCGTCGTCGAAGCAAAAACCAGAACCCCCAAAACCACCCCGATAATCACACACACCGTCACCCGGCCCAAGGCCCTAACCTGCCGCCCATCAAACGCCATCCAAACCGAAGCAAACAAGAAAATAAACCCACAAATTATCTCCAGCCAAAGGGCCTGGCTGGTTCCAAGCCCAGTTGTTATCGGCCCATTGGGCCCCGGCGTGACTACATTGACGGTGCAGCCTCCCAGCGAGAACGTCTTCTCGATCCCGCCGTTGACCACGGCCTTGAGGGCCAGGGCCCCCAGGATGCCGCCGAGGCATTGGGCCAGGATGTAGATCAGGGCCTTGGAGAGGGAGGTCAGGCCCACGAGGAAGGCGGCGAATGTGACGAGCGGGTTGATGTGGCCGCCGGAGATCGGGAACGTGGCGATCAGGAGGATCGGGATGATGAAGGCGACGAGTACTGAGAGTACGAGGTTTGGCATGGTGGTCTGTGATTCCAGGGTTGAGATCACGATGACGTCGATGCAGAACACGAACGCCGCCGTGCCGACGAGCTCTGCTACGGCGGCTCTCCACACCTAATAATCAGTTCGAAAATAAAGGAAGTTATTTTATAGGACAAATATGTTGGTGCTACTATGAATTTTAACCAACATGTGACTGCCATTGTGTTGTTTACTTGTTTATAGAATTCTAGATTCTACATATGTTGAAAATGTTGTTCAAATGTGTAACTAATATGATTGGTAGATATAACTATGATTTCAATAATCGATATATCATCAGCGCGATAATTCAAAATTTTATAGTTCAATCAGGTTTCATTATGTAATCTTAGACGCTTTAGCTGGAGGAAAATTGTTCGGTGTGAAACATGAATTTTCAACCATCATGATACATGTGATTCATTTAAATCATGAATATGAAACATAAACTTATCCTAATTAAGTGTGACTAATTCTAGGTGCAACTTCAATTCATCCTCTTAACTCATAAGTAACACGGCATGGAGACACATTTGTTTAAACCTAGAGCATACAAATTGATGTGGTTATTAAAACGGCATGAAATATGCCATTTAACACTTGGACTTTGATAAAAACTCTTCCAGTTCTCAAATCAATGAGACCATGTATGTATCGTAAAAGGCAAGTGAGTTCATACATTCAACGAGAAGAGATCTTGCAGTCCAAGCAAGGATTGGAGCGACATGGCTTTATCCAGCTGCTTCATCTCCTCTTTCTCTGACTTCAGCAGTGGCCTGCAAATTCAAATCCATGGCAATAACTACTTAGAGACTGATTACAGAGAGAGAGGAGAAACAAGATTCGAGCAGTGAAGGGTATATATGCAGAGTAAAAAGGAGACTTGCATTGGTGTGGTGGAAAAGGGCAGGACTCCATTTTTGCAGCCACACTGACTTTCTTCATCTATACCCGCCATGTTCTAGCTCTCTCTGTCTCTTTTGGTGATATGGGCTTCCATCTTGAAGCCGCTTTGCTTATATAGACAAAGTTTAATTATGAGCTTCCTGTGAACGAGGAGCAAAGTGGGAAAATGTGCAAATGTGTATTATTGTTTCATGATGATGAACAGGGAATTAAATGTGGGATATGGTTAGCTAGCAATGGTTGATTTTGTATAGGTTAGTTTAATAGATCTGTGAAGCCACCTGATTCCCATACCATTGATTTGATTCCCATTGAATATATGGAGTTTAATATTGCTCCTCGCTTTCCACATGACATCGACCCACGAACAAAGAAGCAGGCTCCCACCTTCTACCATTTTCTCCTTGTTTTTTCGCCTTAAAAATCCGTTCGTTCACATCTCCAGTCTACATGTATGCATACAAATCATCTCATCCGTATTATCCGGAAGAATTATTACGTTGCTGACCTTTTTATCCATTGGTGACCGATTCATAATTTGTGTGGAGAGGTGTGTCGATTGATGAAAACTACATAATAATAATTGATTAATTAATAAATATAAAAATCAAAATCAGAACCATTGGCGGATCCAGGGGGTGGCCACCCCGGGCCCCGGCCCAGCCCTCCTCAGGATCCGAAGTTAGTATAGTCTTTATGAATTATTCGATTTTAGTTATTTGGCCCAGTTATTTTATAATAAGATTGGGTGTAACTAGAAAAGTGATTCAAATTAACATATTCAAATCACTACTATAAATTTAGCCTAGAAATTCTAGCTCCAAAGATTATTCTTCTAAAAATACAATGAAATCTAAAATTCTGAAAGTCTAAAACAAAAGAGTATAAGAAATATGAGTTTTGTTCCCTGAAAATTTACTAAAGTAGCTAGTGGAGAACCTTTTCAACAATGAAACATATGAAAACTGATTTGTGCAACAAAACGAGCGATGAATTTCTCGTCAATTACTCAAGTATTTTATTTAAAACAGTGTATACTATTGGTATGGATGTGGACTTCATTATTGATGTATTCGCTAAATTAAAATAGCGTCGTGTATAATTTATATTGTAAAAAAAACTATAATGTTTTTTTACGGTTCTAATTTTCTAATGAAATGCGGCCCAGTGCTTTTCTGTGTTCTGGATCCGCCGCTGATCAGAACCGAATTAATTAAAACAATATGACAGTATGGAATTTTGAAAGGATTGTAAAATACATTACCGCTTATTTTGCAACTCAAATTTTTTTTATTGTATACAATCAAACAATTATTAATAAATTGGTCCTCTATGAGAAGTATAATGTGCTCATTCATCTCAAATAATTGTAATCAAATTATTTATACGTTGAGACTCTCTAGAATAAATTTCGTGTTTTATTCCGATATACTGTGGTGACTAGTGAATTACTTGTTCAATTGTCACTTATCTGTTGATCAATCATGCAGAATCTGAAGATTTGACTTTGATCTATCATCTTTCAAGGCTTCTGGTGGGTGGATATAAAATTTTCTACGTGTATAGAGACATTATCTCTTCAAATGCCCATCACTCGAGGTTGTTGTTTTCGTCCATGTGATGTGATATATATTGATTGCAGCGGAGGATCAGTTTCAGTCAACTTTGCGGGTGCAATAATTTCGGATATGTGATTCTTCCATCTATTTTCTAAACAGAGCATAACGCTCAAATATCTAGAATTGTTTGCATACGTAGAATAATAGGCTCTCATATCATTTCTTTATTATAGATGGGCAAAATATGTTTGGATATGCATATTAGGTCTCTATAATTAAATCAATTGCTATTGGGATAGATGACTTTTTATTTGAGTCTCAACTACGTTGTGATTTTGTTGGGTTGTTGATTTCAAGAAGCAATGACGGTATTTGGGGAATAAGCATCGGCTAACTCTACACCAGCAGTCGCGGTAATACAGAGGATGCAAGCGTTATCCGGAATGATTGGGCGTAAAGCGTCTATAGGTGGTTTTTTAAGTCCGTCGTCAAATCCCAAGACTCAACCCTGGACACTCCTGTAATGTCTTTTTGTCCAAGCACAAAACTTGTGTATGCGCTTCGGGCAAACAAAGTTACATAGTTATCCACCAAACATCTCTTGATGTCTTTGAATTCATGGACGATGTGCATCCTCTATACCTATGGCCCCTAACATAAACTTCCGCGAGCTTTTTCCAATGACAATTTACCCATAATGCATAAAACCGATACCACAAATCTATCAATCTCATATACCATCACTAAATCAACTCATAACAGTGAAGTATTGGGATTTGTAGTCAGCAAGAAGTAGAGCCATTTCACATCTATTACACGATCATCATCAAATTTAAACACTTGAAACTTGAAAGACATAAGAACAATGAGAGTTATGTTACAAACTTATTCATAATACATACTTATACAGCTTATAACAACATACCACGAAGGACACATAAAAGAAGAGAAATCACATGGAACCAAAGGTCTTGTGCCCTCTCTAATGAAAAGTCATTGTTGTTTTTGATAAAATCTTCAAGGCTTCTTCTCTCTACCCATAAAGATTTTCTTTGGGAATGATTCTCGTGTAAATAGAAAAGGCCAAACACGCAATACCCGGCCCGGCCCAAAAGATCCAATGCCCTTCCCACAGATGGCCTCCCCTCACAACAGCCGGGCCCAAACACCTCGCCGGGTTCATCCCAACCCCAGCATAACCCTTCGTCGCCGTCACCGCCGTCGAAATGAAAACAATTAGGCCCACCACAAGCCCAATGATCGAGAACACGACGACCCGGCCCAACGCCCTGGCCTGGCGCCCGTCAAACGCCATCCATATGGACGCGTACAGAAATATGAAGGTGCAGATGACCTCCAGCCACAAGGCCTGCGCCGTCTCGAGCCCAACCACAACGGGCCCGTTTGGGCCCGGAACGACGACGTTCAGCGTGCAGCCGCCGAGCGAAAACGTGTCCTCGATGGTGCGGCCCACCACGGCTTTCAGGGCCAGGGCGCCCAGCATGGCCCCGGCGCATTGGGCCGCGATGTAGATGGCGGACCGGGAAACGGAAACCAGGCCCGTGAACATGGCGGCGACGGTGATGACCGGGTTCAGGTGGCCGCCGGAGATCGGGAAGGTGGCGAGGAGGAGAATTGTGACGGTGACGCCGATGACGACCGACATCACCAGGTTTGGCGTCTCGGTCTTGGTGTGGTAGGAAGAAATGACGATGGTGTCCATTGCGAAGACGAGCACCGCCGTGCCGATAAGCTCCGCCACCGAGGCTCGCCATACCTAAAATCAACCTGACTAATTTAGCCCATAATTTTTGAAATACTTATTTTCCTCTGTTCACTATTTAGATTACTTTGTGTTGAATCGTCAAATTATAGGGTCGAAATGGTTGACAGTTAGTGAATAAAACATAATTCGTTAACCTAGATGTCACGTACATAGTTAAATTAGTGAATGTAAATACTTAAACTTTACAATATACTTCGTTAACTCTAGATGTTACGTAAATAGTCAATCAGTGAATGAACATATATTTTAACTTTGCTGATGTTTATGTCTAAAGTTAAGAATTTATAGTTACTTCTCAAAATGACAAATGTAATTCGTACTTAATTCGTAAATGACGAAAAAGGAAGTTCATGAACCCTAACCTGAAGAGAAACAAGTTCATCCAAGGCTAACACTCCCCTGAATCCAGACGATTTGGGCTTCTTCCTGCCATGGAGTCCTCCATCCTCCTGCCTGCAACAAAAACCAACCCAAAAAAAGGTTATGATAAATAACCAAAGAACACTCTGCAAAACCATGGAAATGAAAGTGAGAGAGAATCAACAAAAGAGCCTTGCTTTGGTGTAGAGGCAAGAGGCTGGACTCTGTTCCCGCCATAGCCAGTTTCTTCATCACCACCAATCCCATTTCCAGCCATTTCCTCTGGTTTCCTTCTTCACTCTCCTCTTTCCACGAAGAAGTAGCTGATGATATATAGACTGTTTGAGAAGATAATGAATGAACATTTTTTTTGTGAGAGAGCAAAGCAGAAAAGCAGGGCTAGCCCATGTCATAACTTTCACCAGTATCTGCTCCCAACTACCCAAATTTATCAGTATCTGTATCTTTCTTTTGCATGGAACCCGCATTATCGGCTGGCTTTACCTTCCACTCTGCCACGGCCATTTATTAGCTCTGGCTTGTCGTTCGTGACCACTCTTTTATCTTTCCCCTCTTTACTCTATTATCTGTTTTTCAGATGTAAGCTTTACATCAGTGAGTTCAAATGCATGAATTTCGGCTGCATTTTCATTTCATTTTGTTTGTGGAGGGGAAAATGACGAGAGTGGGGGAAGATTGTACTGTCTGGTGTGGTATAGCTAAAATTGGATTGGTGAATATGATATGGGATCGGAAGGGATTTGGTTGCTGATTCTTCTTTTGTAATTTTGTCTAGCCTGGGTTGTTAGAGTATCATCCCGGTTATGGTGCTCATTGGACCTATGTGAGAACTTGCTAACAGTGTTTCGCGTCAGTCGGGTCGAGAGTGGATGATGCGCAGTCGTCGGATGGAGAGTATCACCCCCAATCAGACGGATAAAGGATGCTGGAAGCGTGTTCTCACAGATGCCTTGTTAGCACAATATCAAAATTGGTTAGAGTATAAGTGATTTCCAATTTCTCTACTATGTTGATGCGGGTAGGGTTTCAGCGTTTGCTGATGCCATTAGATCACCGTCACACATGTTTGTGGTCATGGGATCGATATAAGAATATATATTATCACATCCAATCCAACGATGATAAACGCATACAAGACGATAATCTAATGGTATCAGTACGCATTGAGTGTCAATGTAGTAAAGTAATTGTAGATCAAATAATGATATGTACTAAGTGAAAGTTACCCATGAACTGAAGTTGGATTATGTATCTCAACCACCAGTGTAGTCCAATTGATGGAGGATTTGGTAGAAACATTAAATTATTGGTCCATCTTGTATACATACATGATACATCTATGCAAACTTTTGGTTCAGTTGACTTTTGTATCAACGTGTTGAGAGATTATTAGCCAGAATTATATTTAGCACATATTCTGACAGTTCATATACCGATCCCAGTGCTCTAACTGCTGCTTAAGTTTTGTCTAGTTGAAGTTTTCTGGAGTGACCAAACAGGAGAATGGAGTTGATGATTTGTTGTTTAGTTTGTTTAGGGAAACAAAAGATATGCGGACGTTAGGTTCTTAAACTGAAATACAAGCTGTCCCAGCCGACATTTCTTTGTACTGCATATTGCTGGTAGAGTAAGAAGAGTGGAGGTGGGCCAGATGAGGGAAACTAAACTGTTTCCACCAAAATTGTTGGACCAGATAGCTAACAATTATGTTTGGGTTTCAGTTTGGATTCACTTTGTACAATCTCTTCAGATGTTTGGGTTTCAGTTCGGGCAATGTACGCTTTGTTGTTCAAATTAGCGATAATTGTGGAAGATATATGTGAAGTAGGAGAGGATCGTAGTGAAATAAGAGAAATGGTCAATATGTGAAGGATGTGATAACAACTTGAAAATCCTCAGCCTTGCGATGTTCATGGATGGACTTTGACTTTACGCCAGACTGGGTTTCGAGCTAGTATTGTAATAAGCACATAGTGTAATTGAGACCTTCAACAGTGATTATTCGTATCCCAAATACGCGGAAAAATTGGCTCTCAACTTTTTTATTCTATAGTTCCAAATTTTTATCAAATGGTTCAAAGGGACCAACCATTTATCCTAAACATATCTGATTCCGAGCACCTTGTAAAGTTTTTGGTAAAAAATTAAACAAATTGACTGCATTCAAAACTTCAATGACGATTATGCCAAAACATTAAAACTTAGTGTCTAATTAGTAATAGCCTTACTTTTTTTGTTTCTCTCGCCATATCTTCTCACCACACTTCCAAAACACTGAAACAGAGTGGTGGAGGGGAAGAAACAGCAGAGAATCTGTTCATCTTCTTTCAGTCTGTCGAAGCTGCAGAGTCGCCAACTTAGCCTTGCCGCCGTATAAGTGCCAATTTTCCCGCAGGTCGCCGGTGTTCTGTTGTCAAAGACTCCCCCGATTCCTAAAGGTTTTCATCGACCAACCTTCGATTCTGCCGGTTTTCTGCTAGGGTTTTCCATTTATACAACCATCAATCCTCTATATAGCAACCTGCTGTAAGAACGTATTCAAACCTTTATAGCATTCAGGGTTTAGCTTCTAAGCTTATTGATACTGCACTAGATGTTTGCATTTATACACTGGAAGTAAATTTTTCTGCTGTAGTCCATGTGCTGGCGTCTTAGATTGGAAGATGTCACTCAGTTGGCTTTCTAATCGCGTTTGTATACTGCAAATGAGGGGGAGTTTTTTCTGCACCTTAACTGCATTGGTACTATGGTTTGGTGTCTAATTACGACAACGACGACGATGATAAACGTATTATGTAACTTAATGCTTGATGTATATGACTAACTATGGCTTCATTTCAATGTCTAGACTCCAGTCACGATGAAGAAGCAGAAAGTTGATGATGAATCAAAGGCCAAGAACGAAAACCCTAGCTCCTCCCTCCTCCTCCATGGATTTGTCAGCCCCAAAATCATATACCCGAATCGCCTGAATCTCTCATCCTACACTCCTTCATGTCTAATGATGGACTACATCGTCCACTGCATAAACAGGTCCCTGGCCGACAACTTCTACTTCAAGCGCGCATCTCCCAGCTACCACCCCTACATTCTGCGCTTGTATTTCGGCATCCTCTTCTGGATCCAATGCTTGCGAGCAGGCAACAATGTCGCTGCAATCCCCATCGAACACCACCAGTTCCTTACAAGCTTCCTGTCCTTCCACCCGCTCGAGACCTTACCCATTCCCGGGCCTCTCCTGGTCCTCTTCAAAACCCTATGCTGTTCCCAGCCAGAGATCAAAAGCTACGGCACAGTCTACCCTCGCCTCCCAACCCATCCGGGTCCCAAGAAGCGAAGCAAGTTCGTCTCGAAAGCCATAGCTAACCACTTCCTTCCTAATGTCCCGGGGGTTTTCGCACTGCTTCATCACCTCAACTCACTCGTTAATGCCAAGTTGGACCCCATTTACCCTAAGCTAGGCAAGCATTGTCCTGTTCCAGCTGAGGGGGAGTCACCGACGACATTCGGTCACCACATTTTCCCGGCTACTAGTGCCGAGAGAACTGAGCTTGAGAAGTGGAGTCTTGTTACCCCTGGACTCCAGTATCCCTGTGAGGCCGATCAGAAGCTCAACGAAGCGTTTGCTGAACGCTTCGCTAAGTTTGGCTTTCCAAAAATGTCAGCTGACGATGACCTCACAAACATTTGGGCGTTTATGGGGATGGAACATAAAATGGCATGGTTTAACCAGGTGAAGGGAGTAGCTGAAACTGCTGCTGAATTCTTTGATGGGTCTGGTACTCTAGCGGATTGCAGTGTTGATGAAGGCTTGGTCTCGAACCAGATCGTCTGCGTGATGTCTTCGTGTGAGGCTAATAAGCAGAAACTGAAAAATGTGCCTACTTGTTCTGCTGACTGGGAGTCCCTGATGGCGCCATTCGCATTTAAGCTGAAGACCACAGCTCGCTCTCTTCCTCCATTGGCGGAAGCTGCTGCTGCTTATTCCCAGACCCACATTCGGGTTCATGAGGGGCATCCCATGTATGGCAGTTTCGGCCAGAAGTCGAAGCATGATGGCCCGTTTTGGGAAATTAGGCCGATTGAGTCGAGTCCTGTTGACGATTCATCCTACTCAGCGATTAGTTGGATTGTGAACAAGATGCACAAGACTAGGTAGGTAAAGGTTAGGGATTTACAGGAGGTGTCGATTGAAACAGTGATGATAGGCTTTGAGGTTATCCTTGTAGCTCCGAATTACTGCAATTTACAGAGCGGTAAACTTTGTAGCGGATTATCTAACGTCATCAGTCCACTTATTAGCTTCAGGATAAACGTGAATGCTGCTAGAACAAGTCTATTCAATTGGAGGGTCGTCAATTACAAAGAAGGTAAGAAAGGAATAAGAAAGATCGCCGTCTATGATCCCTTTGAAAGGCACACAGACAAACATGAAAGAGCCTTACCGGCTAACGAGTGTTTGCTGCTCTTCCACCACAATAATATTGTAGGATATCCAAAAAGAGAACAACTGTATCAAATAACAGAAGACCGAAGAGTTTGGACTCTTGCAAACTGCAACATTCAGGTTTTGATTCTTTCAATGACTATAAGCTTTGAACTAAACCCACATCAATAATATTCTTACGTATTCCATTTCCATTGGGAACTCTAATCTGCCTCCAGAAACAAGGGGGGAGAGAGGAGAGAGTTGGCGTTCTCTTTTCCCCTGTTTTCCCCCACTTTCCTCTGTTTTCCAAATCCTCTCTGTATTCTCTAGAAGAGAAGAATGAAACAGTTGCTGGTTTCTGTAAGGTCATTTGCACTGAAGCTAATGATTCTGATGGCTTTCTTCACTCCATCAGGCACTAAACCCCTTCCTATCTCTCTCCATCACTCTTCAATTTTTACATCTTTTGGTCTCTGCTTTCAGTTTCCTGATGATCAAAAGCTTTGTTGGTTGTTTCTTTCTTGCAGATTGCTTTGACCCTTTGGATCCAAACGGAAACATCACAGTGACCTTCGATGTTCTTGATTACCCTCAAAATGGAGGCTATGTGGCAAGGGTGACGATCAGAAACTTCTATCAGTACCGCCACGTGGAGAAGCCAGGGTGGCAGATCGGCTGGGGATGGGCGAATGAAGAGATCATCCTGAAAATGGCAGGCGCATACGCCACCGATTCAGGGGACTGCAAGAACTTCGCTGCCCAGAAGCCACACTGCTGCAAGCAAAACCCTCTCATCGCCGACCTATGGCCCGGTGCCGAAGGATCCACCGTCGAGGGATGCTGCCGCAGCGGAGTGATCTCGGCCTGGGCAATTGATCCTCCATTATCATTCTCTGCATTCGAAATCACAGTTGGGAATCTCCCAGCCAATACCAGCCACCCACCTGCCAATCTCACTCTCTTCGCTCCAGGGCCAGGATACACCTGCGGCCCGGTTCAGGATACTGAACCCACCGTATTTCTTGATTACGGTGGCAGAAGAAAGATCAGAGCTTTCAGTAAGTTCCCGAATCAAAGTTTTCATTTTTATTCAATTTTTCTTCCTCCACTGTTTACAAGAAACCCTGAAATGCTCTGTTTTTCCCTCATTTCTCTGTTGTTGTTTTCTTCCAGGGACGATGAAATCAGTTTGCACTTACTCGAGCTTCCTAGCAAACAAAGCGCCCGTTTGCTGCGTATCCCTGTCAACATTCTACAGCCAACAGATCACCGACTGCCCGAAATGCAGCTGCGGATGCAGAGACTCTGCCTCCGATGGAGTTTCTTGTTCAAGGTAAAATGCTGTAAGTAAGCTTCCCCTGTTTCAGAACCACGAGAGAGAGAGATGGAGCTCATTCTAACACCATTTTGTTATGCAATTCACCAGCCAGAGTTCTTCGTTGGGCGGAAATGACGTGGAGAAGTTGCAGTGTACGGATCACATGTGCCCTGTTCGAATCCACTGGCACGTGAAGAACAATTACATGCGATACTGGAGGGTGAAACTCACCATCTCGAACTACAATCTCCAGAGGAACTACTCCGACTGGAACTTGGTAATCCAACACCCCGGGTTTTCGAAGAAGGCGATCACTTACAGCTTCAACACCACCACCCTCCCAACTGTTGGAATCGAAGGTAATATCGATTCCTTTCCGATTCAAACTAACTAACAATTCCTAGTCTTGATTCTGAAACTCAAATTCTGCGTGGGTCTGAGCAGATGAGGTTGCTCTGTTCTGGGGTTTACCGTACTACAACAGCGAGTTAACGGAAGCTGGTGCCGGCGGAGGATTTGGTTCGGTGACGACGGACATAATTCTGGAGAAGGATTTGGATGAGTTCACGTTGATGAGTGGATGGGCGCTGCCGAGGAGGGTTTACTTCGGCGGCGAGGAATGTCAAATGCCGCTCCCTGATGCATTCCCAATGCTGCCTAACGGTGGATTCAGAATCCGCCATGAACGCCGTTACTTCTTCTTCCTCACATTGTTGATGATTTGGCTAGAATTAAGACTATAGCTCGATGGCTTAGTTAGGCTCCCAAGATTTTGATCAAATAAGTCCCCGCCGGCCCTGTCTTTGTTTCTGGTTTCTCTTACAATCGACGAAGGAGAAAACAGAGTAACGGTGTGACATCCGCCATTTTTTTGTTCCATAAATTTGAGGGAGGCCAAGGGGTGATGACTGATGTGCCACATTCTGTACATTTTTCTTTTAATTTTACTTTTAGTGAGAATACAACAAAGGAAAGAATTCTAGATGTATACATGAATGGAATTTTGAAATTGACATTTGTCATTAACTATTTCGTGTATTCCTTAATCCTAATCGGCAGGGAAAGATTCTATTGACAATGACAACTACTCAAGCATCTTCTCTATTGTTTAATTTTGTTACTACGATGTTATTAACTACTACGAAAGTAGTTTTATGCAAGGAATGAATATACTTTGTTATGTGCTAGCTTTGTAACCCAAAGTTAGGATTAAGCCTATTAGCGATCCTTGTGACTGGATGGTTTCATTTGATATACACACCTATGACTCATGTAAGCAAGACTACATGTAATCTAACGAATGATTATAGCTCGTTAGCTCTCGCTCAATACGTGCATGCATATGTTGACTGATAGCCAAAAAGTAATAAGATGGTAAATTTACTTATTAACTTCCTCCCCAATACCCAAAGTTTGCTCTTAAAACTTGTTGTAGTATCATATTTCTAACCTCCATTATACTTGTCGACGATCATGTGAATCTTTTGAAAATTTGAGTGAGTTCTTCTGAAACTCTGGAGAAGAAGGCTACAAAAAACAGAGTGTCGGTTTCTTCTCTTGCCGACTAATGGGAGACAAAATGGTGACATGGTCGCAAAAGACAGAGGCTGAAAGAGCGATGTAAATCTTTTCATTGGGTATGGAACAAAGAAAGGGAAGCGTGGCCCGGCCAAAGACTGACTGGTAATCGGCCATCTTTAGGCACGGAGCTGGCACTCTGTTTTTTTCTGGTGTTTAGCAGTTGGAGCTCATTGAATGGACAATTGGGTATTTGTCTTTCTTGCTTGCAATGGCCTGCAAGCGTCCGAAATTCGGTATGGAGAGCCGGTTGCGAAAGGAGAACATGAACATCGTGGTGGGAACGCGATTATCTTCTCTGCTGATTAAACAACGCCACTCGATCATTTTGACATCATTTTCGATAGTGGGTTTTTGTTTTGATCTAAGTTGGTAGATTGTAACGAAATTAAAGCAAAAAGGGCATACTTGTCTCCTTCGCAGCAAGGTTTAGGAAACACTATCGTACCGGTCGGTCAGATCGGAAATAACGGATACCAGACTCAAAACGGTAGGTGGTTGTAGCGGTAGAAAACGATTAAATCACGGTTTTAGTACAAAATACCATATCATTCACTTTTCCGGTATAACCTCCCGTACGGTTTCCTGAACCTTGCTTCACAGACATTATGTTGTGGTAGGAGTGTATTAATTCGTTGCATAGTTGTCCAACTACTATGCTCTGGAAGTATTGGTGATTCGAGATATAAAATAGATTGTACTAAAATGGGGAAGAGTACAAGTTCGATTTGTATCATAACCTATTTATACGAAAAGGTATAAGTAGAAGTTAAATTTGTACCATAACATTACAGACACACTTTCAGTTTGTACCATAGGGATTTTTCATTTTTGTATGAAAATGTATGGGTACAAGTTGAATTTTATATCAAAACGTAAAAAGTACATATTCAATTTATAGTTTGTATCACAAAAAAAGTTATACGAAAAGATATAGGCACGAAATAAACTTGTACCAAGTTGTCATATGCTGGAAACGGGCCAAAGCGACAGATCAGAACTTGGGTTGTTGGTGGACATATATACTAGCCCAAAATATAAGCTCATTTTGATATTTCACATAACTCAAGCAAAAACAAAGTGAGATACGCTTTGGTATTGTTAGTAAATGATATATGATCTACAACTGAACATCTTACAACAATTTGAGTTATTGACAAACATATCACGATAATCATAGTCAGTGGCAGAGGGAAGTGTCAAGGAGAGGGGTCATAGGATCCCACTTGGCCAAAAATTGGGTAACAAAACTCTTTAGAAACATAGGGTTTTGAACGTTCATTCAAGTTTAGGACCCCATATTCTCGTCGATCTTAGCTCGCATAAGAACCCCAATCAATTCAAAGTTCATCAAATACACAAGCGATAGTATTAGTATCTTTTTAAGGACTCCAATAAATCCAAAGTCTGGCTACGCCACTGATCATAATCATAATGGTGAAATATTTTGGAACTTCACTTATCTTACTCTTTTTGTACCAAAAAAACCATTAGACTATTAGTCCGGTAGAGATATTTTGCCTAACAAAGCATTTATACTACAATCTTTTTTATAGAAATTTTTTATTATACTATATTATATAGGTATGTGAGTTACAAATTAAACTTATAACATAACCTTTAAGGAGCAAAATCAATTTGTACAATAAATAATCATGTACAAACTGTATTTGTAAGATAAAAATTCAATTTGTATTATAAAAGCTTTTTTTAAAACCAAAGTACCGCTGTTGATTGTAAAATTTCTAACAAATAAAAAGTGGAGTATCAAATTGGATAATTGACCAAACACTATCTGTATGAAGCATGCGTGTAAGCTACAAACAACGAGAGATTATGGATAATCAATTGATTAACTAACTAATACAAATCACTTAATCACGATCGGATCCTCTTGTCTTTCTGGGATTGGCTGTGACTGAGAGCCGAGAGAGAGGAACGAATCCGCAACTTAGTTTTCTCGCACTTTCCTCTTGGCAGCGGTCTTCTTGATTTTCCTGGAAAATTAAATACTCGCCCACTGCTTTCTCCTGAACCCAACACATCCCAAACCCAACTCGCCGCATCACCGACTTTACCATGGCTCCTCCGCACGGCGGCGGATCAAACGCTGCAGCAGGGGAAGCCATCGCTGCTCCAGTTGACCAGCAGCAACAGCGCCCCATTTCTTCAATCCTTATAATCATCGGTGCCCTTTTGATTTGTATTCTGTCTAGTGATCTTCCCTTTTTCAGCTGGCTCTGTTTGTGATTGTTGTGAAATTTGGTGGTCGGTTTTGATTTTGAAGCTATGCAAACGGAAGCGACGCCTTTAGTCAACAAGTTCCAGCTCAAGGAAGACCTTGATTCTGTGTACGCCCTTTCGATTACTTTCTCGTTTTCTTCCCATCTTTTGTAGCTTTTTATATGTGGCTCTAGCTGTGTTGATTGTTAAAGTTTTTACCTTTTTGTGCTTGGATTTAGTGGGTTTTGTTTCAAGCTTGAATTCGAGTTGTTTTCTTATGGCAAGAGTTCATTGTTCACGGTTATTGATTGAAACGACTTAATAACATTGAGGAGGGGACTTGAATGTTCAGTTCAAAACCTTTTTGGTGCTCCATCTCATGGAGAATGATTGATGACCCTGGTAAAAATTGTTTACTGGTGGTTTTTGTTTGCCTGTTCACCTTTTCCTTACCTGACTATGCAACCAAGCTGCCACATTTTATATTGATGTATCAGTTTTGCATCTGCATTCTTCTCCCAATGGACATATACAAAGTGTAATTGTTAGGGATGTGTGCTTACAATGTGCAGGTTTCCAAAAGGGGCTCCCTGGGTCAGGTACTATGGTACATACAAGGATTTGCAAATCAATTTAGTATGGCCCGGAAAAGATTCAACTCTGGGTAAGTGACAGCAATTTAGCATTCAATGATCGTTCAAGCACCCCTGATAGTGATATAAGTGGAGTGGCAACCTTTGGACTTTGAAGTTGGATAAAACGAGTTGCTCTTTCTTTGCAGGTGTTGACTGTGTCGGCACAGTTTCTGCAGCTCTTGTTGCTTACGCTGCAGTTCAAGCACTAAAACCTGACTTAATTATCAATGCTGGCACAGCAGGCGGCTTCAAGGTATGCATGCTTGTCTCCTTGTCCCTGTATTTCTCCTTCAAATAGTAAAGGTCAATTATACTATTTGGAGGAGATACCAGTTTGCCTGGAGCTGCCTGATGATAACAATCATCTGCATTTAACGTGGACAGAACAGTTAAACCTAAAATTTGACAAGAACAGCTTTCAATGATAGCCTTGATGGACTTGAAAGAAGTTCATTACGCAAAGTATGCATGCTTGTCTCTTTGTCCCTGTATTTCTCCTTCAAATAGTAAAGGCCAATTATACTATTTGGAGGAGATACCAGTTTGCCTGGAGCTGCCTGATGATAACAATCATCTGCACTTAACGTGGACAGAACAGTTAAACCTAAAATTTGACAAGAACAGCTTTTCAATGATAGCCTTGATGGACTTGAAAGAAGTTCATTACGCAAAGTATGCATGCTTGTCTCCTTGTCCCTCTATTTCTCCTTCAAATAGTAAAGGCCAATTATACTATTTGGAGGAGATACCAGTTTGCCTGGAGCTGCCTGCTGATAACAATCATCTGCACTTAACGTGGACAGAACAGTTAAACGAAAAATTTGACAAGAACAGCTTTTCAATGATAGCCTTGATGGACTTGAAAGAAGTTCATTACGCAAAGTAATAGTGCATTTTGTATTTTGCCCTCCTGCTGATTTGAAAGCTTTTCTAGGCCAAAGGTGCTGGTGTTGGGGATGTATATCTGATATCTGGTGTGGCTTTTCATGACCGGAGAATTCCCATTCCTGTAAGTGTTCTTAACACTTCTGAGTTCTGATTAACCTATATGCATATGTGAGTAAGGCTGGCATAAACGACTAAGTGGGACACTTATTGTGGCCATTGTTTGTGCTATACTTTTCACTGTAGGTTTTCGATCTATATGGAGTAGGTTCAAGGAAGCCCTGTTCAACGCCCAATATAGCAAAAGACCTTAACTTAAAGGTGACCAATTTCCAGAAACTTTAGCTCATTTCCTTACAAATTCCAGTAATTTATTAATCTGGTCAATCAATGTGCTTTCCTTGCCTAAACCGGAGTTCTTAAGACTACTTATTTTGTATCTGTCAGGTTGGTAAACTCTCCACCGGAGATTCTCTGGACATGTCACCTCAGGACGAGGCATCAATTACTGCAAATAATGCTGTAGTTAAAGATATGGAGGTAATACTAAGCAATAACTACAATGCCTGGTTTGCTGATCTTTCTTCTACTTACCAGTCATTCATTGAGAAATGTGTAATATCAACCAATATGTTGGGGTTTCCAGGGTGCAGCTGTTGCCTATGTAGCCGAGATGTTGCAAGTCCCTGCGATATTCATCAAAGCTGTGACCGACATTGTTGATGGCGACAAGCCGACTGCCGAGGAATTCCTGCAGAATCTAGCAGCTGTAACTGCTGCACTTGATGCGTCTGTCACCCAAGTAATCGATTACATCAATGGGAAGTGTGTTTGTGAACTTTGAAACTTTGATGTCTCTCAGAAGAACATTCGAGGACGAGTGTCATTAAGCTTTCTACGCCTGCGATTATACTGGGTTTTTCTGTATGTGTGACACCCATGATTTAGATCCAGCCAAGGGACTTGCACTATTAGTTCATTGTTAGCTCATGTTTGTTACTGATGCCAATAATTTAAACCTCATGGTTATGAATGCAGCTAAATTCTCTTCCTCGTTTACAGTTTTAACAGGGCTGTGTTTTGGTTTGATGTAAAATCGATATTATTTGTCTCAAGTTCATGCCATTACGCTATACGTATTTGCAAAACATTGTTTGGCATAGTGTATTTGTGCAGAAATTATGTCAGATAAGTGGACAACGTTATCGAGAAAGTGAAAAAAGGCGCAATACCCAGTCTAGACTACAAGCTCAAGTACTTTTTACAGTTTCTACCGTTCTACTTGAGATCAAATGAACAACCCTAATACAACCTGAACCTACCTGTTAGTCTGATATAGAAATGGGTTTCATGTTGTTGAAATCCAGATGATATTAGGATTAAACAGATTACTTAGAAAAATTACCTTCCACACAAGAAGCACCTAATCTCCACCCACATCTGTCAAACGTGACCTGCATGAATGCACTACTTCTCTTCCACTGAATTTATATAACAGCAAGCAAGTTGCAAGCTTTTCATACCCTCCCATGTAAATCAAGTCCTTAATGCTCTTTCAGTGTCTGCAAATTCAGTCCTATATAAGCTAGACATCCTTCATTTCAAGCACAAGAACTGCCAGCGAGAGGTGAAAAGTAGTTATGGAAGCTAAGGGAAATGGCAGCTCGACAAGGAAGGCCAGCCCTGGCAAGGCTACAATCCTGGCTCTCGGCAAGGCATTTCCCCACCAGCTTGTCATGCAAGAGTTCCTCGTCGATGGCTACTTCAGGAACACCAACTGCGATGATCCGGAGCTCAAGGAGAAGCTAACTCGACTATGTAAGCCCCACAACTACCCTTCCACTCCACTCTCTTTTCCCCCCTTTTCACTGATCATAACATTAAATGTGGATTGTTTTGTTGGGTAACGTACCAGGCAAGACAACGACTGTGAAAACTAGGTACGTCGTGATGTCGGAAGAGATACTCAGCAAGTACCCTGAACTCGCCACAGAAGGTCAGCCCACAGTCAAGCAGAGGCTGGACATCTGCAACGAAGCTGTGACGCGAATGGCGATTGAAGCTTCGCAATGTTGCATCAGGAAGTGGGGGAAGTCGGTATCTGACATAACTCACTTGGTCTATGTCTCGTCGAGCGAGGCCAGGCTGCCAGGTGGTGACCTCCACCTGGCGAAAGGCCTCGGGCTGAGCCCTGATACGCACAGGGTCATGCTCTACTTCATGGGCTGCTCAGGAGGCGTAGCAGGGCTCAGGGTCGCAAAGGATATAGCTGAGAACAACCCGGGGAGTCGGGTTCTTCTGGCTACTTCGGAGACCACGATCATTGGGTTCAAGCCGCCGAGTGCGAGCAGGCCATATGATCTGGTCGGAGTGGCGTTGTTTGGCGATGGTGCTGGAGCAATGATTGTTGGCACAGACCCCATTCAGGACGCCGAGAGTCCACCTCTGTATGAGCTTCACACAGCCATTCAGAACTTCTTGCCTGATACAGAGAAGACGATTGACGGTAGATTGACGGAAGAGGGGATCAGTTTCAAGCTTGCCAGGGAGCTCCCGCAGATTATTGAGGATAACATTGAAGGGTTCTGTAGTAAGTTGATGGAAGTTGTGGGGATGTCTGAGAAGGATTACAACAAACTGTTCTGGGCGGTTCACCCGGGCGGACCGGCAATCCTGAACCGGGTGGAGAAGAGACTGGATTTGATGCCAGAGAAGCTGAATGCGAGCAGAAGGGCACTGATGGATTATGGCAATGCCAGCAGTAATACCATTGTTTATGTGCTGGAGTATATGGTGGAGGAAGGATTGAAGATGAAAGATGAGAAGAATGAAGGAGATTGTGAATGGGGTTTGATTCTTGCTTTTGGACCCGGGATCACCTTTGAAGGGATACTTGCAAGGAACCTGACAGTCTGATGAATGGTTTGTTTCTTTGGCATAAAGTCTCTGTAACAATCTGAAAATTTGGGTGCTCTTTTCTTACTGTCTTTGTTCTGCAGTTCAATCAAAGCAATAACACAGAAGACAAGTGCAAATCCTGTTCATGATATCTAACTGGTTTACTATCCATATGCATTCAACCAAGGAAGACACTACACTTCGACGCAATAGTATTAATTTCAGCTAGGAAAATTATGTTCAATACAGTGAGCCAACTAAGTTTTTGGCAATGTTAATATACAAAACATCCCCCACCCTACTTCAAGTTCAAGACTTTGATACAACAAAAAACCGTGTGGGAACAGAAAAGAGGTCACGGCGTTGCATAAGTTAATTTTGGAGGCAAGCATCGTCCACAGTGATGGATCTTCTCTGGTTATACAACCCCGGAGGGGAGGCGTAGAACAAGCTGCCCACCAAACACACTGCAGAGGAGGACAAATTCGAAATCATATATATTAGATCAACCAAGATTCAGATATAAAACCATTTATGACTAGGAGCAAAAAGCAGAAAAGACTTAACCTTTTCACGTAGTAGTAACAGAAATCGGCAAGAATGAAGGTCTGGACGATTTCTGAGATAAGAACCATTGATGGCCATAATCCATAACCCAAGGCTACCAGCAAGTGTCCACGACTATCTAAAACCTGTTGGAAGTTAAAGTGGTGACGATCCATCAATGTCATAATACAAGAACATATTCAGGTTGACTAGGTTGTGCATATTGAAGGTCCAGATGAAACAAAAACATTTCTGGCGATAAGCAGACATAAGTGTGCGACACTATCAAAGATCATTGAACCAAAAGGATTAGACCAAATTCAAGCAAAAATAAGTGGGTTTGGATCTTCATTATACCTGGAGAACCCAGTGAGCACAGCTCAAGAATCTTGCAATTCCGAGTGCAAAGACATAATGAGCAGTGAATGGTTCAACAATCTGAAGAATAAGAAGAAAAAAAGAATTTAAGTTTTTCAACCCCAAAACACCTGAAAGAGAATTTACAATCCATCAAACTGAAACCTTGGTGTTCTGCATCACTCGCAGCTGAGGAAGCACAGAAACAGATTCCAGGTATACACAGAAAGCCCAGAAAATCCTGTTAAACAGATTATGCGAGGTTGTTGGATGAATGACCACGGCTAATGCAAGACAAGGCACCAGCTGTTACAAGGCACAAAACAAGATGAAAGTGAGTGCACGTCGTCAAGTGAGCAATCAGAAGGAACAACTAGAAGATCTATCATTGAAATTTAGAATTAAGAGATCGTGCAAACTATAGTAGTGTAATCGCAAGCAAAGATGTTTACTATGTTCCTATTTCGCCATGTAAGGGCGAGGAAATTAATTCCAGTAATGATTCTCACTCCTATACTTAAATTACAGCTAACAAGCAGAACTCTGCCTAGCTTAACAAACTAATTGACCATTCATGCAATTAAAGCAGCATATTAACTGGAATGAAACAGGACAAAATGACTTGGGAAAAACGGTATCCGACTGTGATCAATATGTGTACTGACCACATAGTAGAGAGCAAAGTTGTCCTTGTCCTCCATATAGCTAGACTTCAGCTTGAAGCGGATCATAAATATAACCCACAGAGTAGTCGCCAGCGTGGCTAAATCTAACAACGTATGTATGTCATACTCCATTACCACGCTACAGTACAGCCTAAATGCTAGGAATATAGCAGTAAGTTCTTGTGATTTAAGTGATAGCCCTGCAAAACAATTCAATGTACAGTTAACATAAGGATATAAACAAACCGTGCCGAAATGAGTAATAGACCTTGAAAGTGTGTTCCTTCTTCACAGTTTCATTGAACCACATGGAAAAGCATCATGACTATAGCTTGATAGTTGATATGATACCCAGCCTAATATACAGCAACATTAACTGATCGCCCGACATAACAATCGTTTATAACTTTCGATGTACATCCAATCTACATCCTTGGCAAATCAATACCTAAATCAAGAGCGGCCCCCAATGCTTAATCCCAGTCGGTCAAACAATAAAAATGATGAGACCTGTTGTCCTGAATCCCGAATTCTATAAATATCAACCTATCTTCTATTCGTAGAAAACTCAAAGATTCAACGCCCATGCCTAAACGATGAGCAAGCAAGGAAAACTAGTCTCCGTAATGTGGCAAAACATCAACAATTGTTCCCTAACACCAGCAGCTACAGAGATCGACAAAGAAGGAAAACAAGCCACCAAAAACTTATCCAGGAACGTCTTAAAAATTGAGTCTTTTCCCCCCAAACCCAGAAAGAAGGAAAAAAGGGGGAAATCCCAGTTCAGCACCATTCGATTCCAGAGAAACGACTCAAGCAAAGCCCTATAGAAGGAAACAAAATCTCTTTTAAATTTCACCTGCACAAGTCTTCTCCTTCATGAGCTTATAAATAAGAACAGAGATGCCAATGGAATGGACGGCCTCCGCCGCGACGAAGAGGTTGTCGTGGTCGTGGACGATGAAGCGGAGGAGGACTAGAGCCGCCATCCCAGCTACGACGGCGAGAAAGGCCTTGACTTTGGGTGGCTGCCGCCTGACCCATGTCGTCAGCATGTGGATCGTCCTTTTCTGCGGCCTCATGGTGAGAAATCAAATCAAGAGCAGACGGGGTTCTCTACTTTTCCTTCTCCTTTCCTGGGTTTTTCCGGCAGAAGCGACGGGAATTGAGGAAGGAGGGAAGGAAAATCTTCTGGTTGGGGGCGAATGCTAAATGAAAGGGTTCTTCACGGCGAGAAATAATATAGAGACAGTGAGAGAAAGTTGGGATTTTTATTGTTGTGATGTAGGGAACAAATTACTCTTCTATTCCTTTGCTCCCTAAGAAGAATTTTTGGGGGTTTCCTCTGTTTTTTTACTTTTCTGAGTAAAATGTGAAATTTATCACTTAAATTTTAGTGCTTTATTTTGTCGATTTTATTTTTATTTTTCACAGGGGAAAAACTTGTGCCTCTATGGAGTTTGAGGATAGGATATGCTCATCTCTTAAAGCCATGAATTAAAAAGGGTTTTTCTCATTTGATGGCTGTTTCTGAGTATTGCATCTCTATTTATGATTCATTATGAAAATAGACTTTGTATTTTATATCTTTTAGGCTGTATAGAAAATTAGGAACCATTCTCATCTTGGTAATTCATCCAGAGTCTTTATATTATTAGAATGTTATGAAGAGGATAAATTTTTAAAACCGGGAAAAGATTGTTTTTGAAATAAATGGACGATAGAGTTTTGAAAATGTTATTGTTCTTATGTTTATTTCTAATACATAGATTACGAATTGCGGATTATAAAAATTGGTGATTGAATTACCTTTAATTCTTAGTACTATGATTTCATCTCATTTGGGTTGGAATTTGTGAAGATGGGATAGAAATAAAACCATTAAAAGTAGAGAGCTTTACAATACCACTTGACATAGGTAACATTTTAAAATCAATCTTTACTTATACTTTAAAATCCCTCAACCCCATAATCCAACACCAAAAAAGACCAACCAAACAAGCTACTTTGAACCAGAATCAACTTATTGACGGATTTGGTGCAACAATCCACCACCAAAATCCATAAGCCAAATACCTCTATGTCTTGCCTTATCGTACAAACTAACTCGAATATGGGAGTGCATATCAAAGACAACAACATCGTTATAAATGAAACTGGAATCAGAACCCATTAGTGACGACGATCTACTTAGCTAAAACACGATGACGTCGATGAGGATGAAATATATTGGGGCAATTCTTTCATCCAAAGAACGTAATATATCAAAATTCTAGAGTTTCTTCAATAAAGCTCCAGAATCTCATCAGTTATCAACGAGTGAAGGGAGAAAAATTCTGCATGACTGCATCTGTATCCAATATACAGTTGGTTTCTCCAAAGTCCAAACGACAATAACATTTAACTTCTTGTGTCCATTTCACAAAATTTTTCTTTATGACATTAAACAAGCAACTCGTTCTCAATATTAGTCAATACAAAGATGGACAACCACATTCCTAATAACTTCAAATTTATTCCAACATCAACCAACCAAGATAAGACTCAGTAGTGGCTGCAAACTTCAGATACAAGAAATGGATTGGTTTCCCAATGCTGATCAGACCTGATGGGAGAGTCCCCATTTCATTCAACTTTGTTATAATCTTTAGTCCCGAAGTTCTTGCACCAAAGCTGGGAGGGGATCGGACGAACAGGAAGATGAGGCCGTTGCTGCAACAAGAAAGCGAAATTGTTTATCGAAAGATCATGATGTGCTCAATCATTAAACTTGCGTTGTAAAATCTGCAGAAGCAGTTTTCCAAAGCCAATGATCCCTAGCAAGAAAGCATCATACTACGACACCCAACTCTATTCTGTAATGTCAATATTAAACAGACTTCTGCCACAAACTTTGGGGTATGAGTTAGTTGCCCTCGTTTGTGTACACCTAACTTCCTAACTTAAAGTAGATTAGATGCAATAGTAGATATGAAATAATGAGATTAGCTAATCAGCCTTGTGTACACCAAACTTCCTAACTTTTAAGTACATTAGATGAGATAGTACTAGTAGATATGAAATTATGACATTAGCCATTCAGCATTGACTATGGTAGTTAGAACAGTTAATTGCCTTCAAGAAGAGTGGTAATCAATCAAGGCCATGCATCATGGAAGGATAACATGCAGAAGAAAACAACTATGGAGAAATTCAACGATATATTTCTTCAAAGGAAGCTAATACACCGGAAAAGGAGAAGCATTCCACCACCAATCTATCACACTAAATAAAAACTGTTTGATATCCAAGCCTAATTCAAACTGAAGAAAATCAGCTAGCGCAAAGCTTCTGTACTTCTAATCTAGTATTACTTTTGTAACAGAACTACCTTCATGGTACTTGACCTTCCCCAACATCTCCATGTGTAACATCATTCCCAAAATGAAAATAAAAAATCGTAAATGAAGCTTCTATCTCCATCATAATTTTCCTACAACAGCTGCATTAGAGGATTGCATAGAAGCGCCTGCCCTTAGTTCCCAACCACACTACATCAGGACCGGTTTTAGATGCCAAAACAGCACCTTTACAAGGTAGCTAGAATAGACTGCTGTGCAGCAAAAGGGTTAAGGTAACACCATTTCATCCGCAAAGCCATGTAGAAGCTAATAGACAGGATAGACAAATAAAATCTAACTCCCAAAGCTTAGTAACGTACGCAGCTCTACAAACCCAGAAATCTTGGACAATAGCAAATTGCAAAACACTCTTGAAATGAGCGATTTAGCAGCGGCAAGCATCCTAGAATTCCAGTCATGTGAGACCTAAAATCAGTGAGGACATAGGCAATTTTTCCAATCCGCATCGGTGATTCCATCCAACGATGATCAAACCAACACAAAACGCAAGAATCTGGTTCAAAATTAGGGTTTCGTCCATGATCCTAGACTGGGAGATCAGCAAGGGCATTCAACACTGCCAAATTCATATTTGATATTCCACCACGTTTCCTACAAATTCACCGAAAACAATAGAAGCTACTGCGATGGAAGAGGAGAGACGGACCTCGAGCTCGGCAGATTTCATGGCGATGGGAATGCAGACGAGGAAGACGCCGACCATGGCGATGGCAGTGTTGCGGCGCCAGTGCTTAGGGCGGCAATATGGGCCACCGGTCATGCTCCACACCTTCCCCCTGAAATCGCCATGAGCACCTTCCGCTCCGTGTCCGTGCTCGGCTCCTCCGCCCATATCTCCGGTAACGACTCAGTCAATTTTCGCTTCGCTCACTCGAAGTGGCTCCGTTGTACGGTCTTCGAACTAGCACAAGAAAACTGGATCCCGATGGCCAAAATGATTTTCCCCGTCGTTGAACAATCTCTTTAGGAAGGGGGGCACGCTTGTTTGGTTCCCGTTCTTCCCGTTTGATGCGGGCTTCCTTTGTACAGTCCGTGCCATGTTTTGGGCCCGAAAGGCTTCGCTCTTGTGGGCTTTTGGGACAGAAAGTACATTTCTCTCCTAAATATTTTTTCCCGATAATTATTTCTCCTTAATATTTGTTTCAAACTAATCAAAGATTATTGTAAGAAAAAAAATTATTCAAAGATTGGGATGGAGTCCACCTATCTGCATTTTGTTCCTTCAGTTGAAGGCTCGCTCAGCTCTTGTGAACCACGTTCTTCTATGCGTGTTGAACTTTGTTTCTTTTTTATTTTTCGTTTGAATGAGTTTCATCACCCTTTATAAAAAAAAAATTGGTATGGAAATTGAATTTGCATTCATGGTGCGTTTGGATATGAGGATCTGAATTTGGTTGAAACAGTTGAGAACAAAGTGTTGAACGAGTGTGTAATGCGTGGGAATCAGCGGAACTCAAACAACGATGACAAGCCGAACAAGTAGATCATTAGATATGTGCACCATTGTTACATACGGCTAAAGCTCAACTCCTGCTCGACCTTCCATTTTTGGCTGGTTGTAGTCGAGGAGGGATTTGAACCCCCGATACCGTGATTCGTAGCGACATGCTATAAGCCTCAGATTGGAATTCGGGATTTTAAATATAAAATTACTTGTTTAGATACTAAGTAGATATGATATTTGAATTTGTACTAATTACATGGAGTGACTATCAAATGCATATCTAGTGTATTATTTGTGAATTTCAAATACATATAAACAACTAGTGATTTGAAAATTCTCATTTAGCATGTTTGTAAAACTTTAAACCTTGATGTATTATAATGCAAAGCAAAAATAATGCAGGTACTAAAATGCAATGCCACCACCAAATCTGATGGTAAGCAGAAATCAGAAATGTCATCGGAACCAAAAGGACTGAACCAGCATTCCAAATCAAACGAGCCGGAGTAAGACCTGAACTAGAAGAAGTGGAAGAACTAGAAGAAGACACTAAAAGCAAACAAACAAAATAAACGAAAAGAGGGAAACAGACAAATGAGAACAGAAATCATTACAGTGAAGGTGGAAACGCTGCCCGTGGACTCGGCCAACCATGTGTCCTTTTGTAACCAAAAAGTGAGCGATCCAACACCGCAAATTCGGCCCTCCTGTACGAAAGCGTTTATGCCGCTAAAACTCTCCCAAGTAAAACTCCAACACCGCAAATTCAGACAACAAAACATTCTTTCCCCTGCAGGATCATCACATGTAAACAGTTCCACCATAGCACGGACAACTAAGGCACTGAACAACAAAACATAGCCTTGGATCTGAAAGGAAGGAAGGAAGGAGGATAGCTACGCTACAGCTACCTCAATGGTATCTCATCCAGTTGGAAAGTAATTGCTACTTACAATTGTCAAAATGCCTAAACAACAGAATGGGTTAGACTCTAGCTTTGCACATCTCTACACGACGATCTTCAGTCCGATGCTCAAGATGCATGTGCTTACCCTAAGATTGGATCATAACCCATGCTGGCCTCAGCAAGTCCAGGAGTTTGATCTCTTCATTACAGGCTTCACATGTTTGTCCTCCTCGAGTGCCACCATACCCAAGTGAGAAGGGTCTTCCAGCATCATCTTCGCCACCAAGTACCCCGCAACTGACCAGGTCTGGTTCTTGCGCGCCTGCTTCCCCACGTATCTCCCAAGCTTCCCGTCGTAGTACTCAGGCCACCCGTCCTTTATCAGCCTGGATTCAGCAAGCTCCACTGCGCGCCTTGCAATCTGTGGACGCCCTGTCTTGATGGATGCAGCTGTGAGCAGCCACAGTAGTACTGCAAAAAGGAAGTCACAGGTGAACGATGATGATTACTAGCTCCTACAGTGAACAACTGACCGATTGGTCAATGTAAATCAAGAGAATAGTTTGGGATACAGTAGATTCCAAGGTCTGTCTGGTTCTTATAATCTCAGAAATCAACAAGGGAATCTTAAAAAAGGTCTTAACCCAACACGTATTACATCAGCTAACTATTTTAAACACAATATCGTCAATTAAGCACATTACCATGAAATACAGTGCAAATTTACAACACATTACATTACTTGGACACCAAGAAACTCATATGTAAACACAAGCAAAATTCAGCCGTATGAATGTTGAATGTCGGTTATAATGCTTTCAGAACTTAATATAATCACTATAACATGTTTCAGAGAAGGAAAGACAAGAAATAAATGCTTACCTGGCCAGGATCCTCCATTGTGGTAACTCCATCTTGTGTTTTTCGGATCACAACCTGTTACGATCTTCCATTCATGGCTTTCTATGGCAGGATAGCATACCTTGAGGGGCATTTCACCAACCAACTCCTCCCATCGCGCTTCTATGAGATCCATGATTGCCGTAGACTGTTCAGGGGTGGCTAGGGATGACAGAATGGCCACACAATTTCCCAAGCAAAACCAACGGAAGTCCATCCTTGCTGGGCTGACATTTCCGATGAAGTAACCACCACGACTGGGCATAAAATCAAATATCCATTCTGGTAGGGAGTCAGGTATCACATTGAACTTATTGACTGCGGTATGGGAGTACTCCTCTGTTTTGTATCGATATATGTCATTGAGTTGCTTGAGGTCAAGCCAAAAATAACTCCTCATGTGGTAGCTCAAGGCGTGAAGGCGTTTGACAATTCGTTCCATAAACTCCTTTCCTTCCTCATCGTGTTTCAGTAACACCAAAGCACATCTTAATGCCATGAAGAAAAGCACTTGAATCTCAATCGGATACCCATAAACACCCTGGGAAGAGGAAAAGCATAAGCTATTAGGACCAGAAGCATCTGGACATTCAAATGAAACAGCATGGCTTACAAGAAACTAACCATTCTGCGATCAATCATGCAGCATCCATCAGCACAAAGAAGAGTAGGGAACGTGTCAAAACCTTCTGAAAGGCATAAGCTCAGAATAAGCCGCATTCCCTTTTGGCATTCTGGTAGTTCAGCCAATGAGGTATCTCCAGTAGACCTAGTGTACGCCCTTAGCAGTATGATCCACCAGAATCCAGAATCAACAGGAGCCACCCTGCCAATTGCAGTCTCCCCGAAATCAGCCATCAGAGTCTCGGAGTTCCTTACCGGATCATGCAGCACCTTGAAACTCGCAGGCATGACTCCTTCCCCAAGCTGGAACCTATCAATCTTTTTCTCCCAGGATTGCAGGCGTAGAGTCTTCAGAATGAAGTTCTTGACAATCTCTGGCTCCCCATTCATCAGAAATGCCAGTCCACTAGGTATGAAATCTCGCACAAACACCTAAATCAAGAGAACTAGACTCAGCACTAGGTTTAAACAGAGTTCCAATTCTTCCACATTAAACCGCCTGATGAAGTAATTTCTCGCTAAACCGTTCATCCAAGGATTGCTAAAAACGGGATTCCTACTCAATTCAAAAGCAACAATGGCGGAATGCAAAAGAAAAACACACACACACACAATCAATTGAATCATCAAATCAGTACGGTTACCTGATCGTAGTTGAGATTCTCCTCGGTGCTATCCAACGCCGCAATCGTCCCCACCGGCTGTCCCCTGAAGTAGACCAGAGAATGCCGCAGCGCGGCCCACGCTTCCAGCACGTGAGGATGCGAATCGATCCCGGCGGCGAACTGCGTCCCGGGAGTATCGAGGCCGGACCTCCGCCCCGTCCCCGGCGGCGAGTGCAGCGCATCCGCGGCGTGGCCGTTGGTGAGCTCGCTCAGCGACCTCTCGTCGCAAGATCGCTGCCGGTCAATGTTCACCAGCAGCCTCGGCCGCATGTCCAACTTGTCGAGCTCGTCCAGCTTCGCCACAGAGCCGAGGAAGTCCGGAACCGCCGACATTGCGTCCCTCCGATGCGCGGTCACCTGCCAGAAATTTCAGGTGAAAGAAAAATCAGCGGGAACCTCACTTAGTAATGAAATGCGGTAAGTCGTGAGTAATTAAATTTGCTTCCATGCTTAGTGTAGGAATCGCTTTCTTCCATTTTCTGAAAATTTTCTCGGCAACCGAAACAGGGAAAGGGGCGAAGGAGGACTGACCGAACGGTCTCCGTGTCGTCAGGGAGGGTGGGTGGAAAGGAAGGAGAAGGGGGGACTGGGGAGAGTGGGAACTATAGAAGAAGAAAAAGAAAGAAAGAAAAATCAGAATGATGGGAATTGGGAACGTAACGTTCTTTGCCTTGTTGGTGTTTTCTAGTAAGTGGGGCCAGTTAGGATTTTGGTTGACCGGAGTAGCCGGTGCGCTGGTTGCTTGTTTTAGTTGAAGCAGAAAGAGATTGCGGTGGGGAAAGGAAGCAGGCAGGGGATGAGTGTGGACCGGAAGAGCCGGCGGACGGTTGAGAGAGGAGAATGAAGAGACGCGGGTCCCACGTGGGAAGGGGGAAACAGAGAGAGAAAGCTGGGGGTTTTGGCGTTGCATGCAGTTGTTGTGGGTGGTGCATGGCATCTTTCTGGCTTTCTGCACATTTTGCACAGCAGCTCTAAACTACTTCAATTTTTATGGTTCTTGGTAATAATGGCAAGAACGGCTTGGGAAATTGAGCCTACTTCCTGTTAGGTGAATAATTCCTGGTTAGTTTGTAAATGTATGAGGTGAGTTTGGATAAGTGGATTTTAAATGTAAGGTATTTGAAATATTAGCATTTGAAATGGATGTATTCGAAATATTAGCATTTGAAATATATGTAATTCAAATTCATTGTTTGGATACTCATTTGTAATTTGTTTGTATTTTGTATTTTATGATTTTCAATTTCAATTTTTAATTTTCTGGTCACTTACTATAAATTTTGGTAAATTACAGTTTGGTACCCAAAATTATTTTTTCTTACAATTTAGTACCTAAACTTTTAAAATTTTACAAAAAAAGGTCCTGAAATTTTGATGGTAAAATTACATTTTGGTACCTTTATATGTTTTGCCTCACACTATAGTACCTAAACTTTTCATATTTTACAAATAGGTCCATTCTTTTGTTAGGAGATATTTCAAATCACTAGTTGTTGAAATGTATTTGAAGTTGACAAAAAATACACTAGACATGTATTTGGAAATCACCCCATGAATTTGACACAAATCCAAATACCAAATGTAATTAATATCCAAACACATGATTTGGTATTTGGAAATCCAAATCACAAATACCAAATCCAAATCATTGTATCCAAACGCACCCTGGGTGTATTTCAATTACATGCTATTCAAATTCGTATTTGAATGCTTATTTATTTGCAATTTGTAATGTATTTCAATTTTTATGATTTCTTATTTTTATTTTGAATTTTCTAGTCACGTATTGCAATTTCTTTTAACTGGATCACGGGTGTATTTGCATTTAATTAAGTGGCATAACGGTGATAACTGACGTTGTGATAAAAGTAACCTCTATAAAACGGTTATATTTTCAAAATGTGTCTTCATTGATTGTATAATGTATATACACATTTATAGTTTGATAATTTACATGGTTATGCGTGCATTTTACTCTGTACAATCTTATATAATTGTAACTCATGAAAGTCGGTGGAAGACTTAACTTTTTGCCAACATCCTCCCACTCGAAGTCCAAAGGAAAGTCATGCGCATCGCGGAAGAAAATACCCTGTTATGGACATCCTCTTCCGATGGTAACTTCACGGCCAAATTTGTCTACAGATTAGTCAATCCGCTGCAACAAGACACTGATGCGAGGTTCTGGAAGATAGCATGGAGCTTGTTGGTCCCTAAGATGATTAGAAGCTTCACATGGACGGTTCTATTGGGAAGCATTGATACGAACTCCTTTCACTTGTCCATGAAGATAGCATCAGACCCATGTTGTGCTCGATGTTAAGGAATGTTGAAGACCATCTTACACATCTTTCGAGATTGTCCTCTCACCTTGTACTTTTGGTCTATCACCATGTTTTAGGGCCTCATTGTTGCCAAGATGAAGATGACCCGAGGCATGGAATGCTCCATCTCCTATTCCCAATTCTAAGAACCATCCGGCCTGTTACACTACTGCCAGGATTGGATGGAAGCCCCCACCCGATGGGTGATGGATGGATGGCGCTAAACATCGATGGAGGGTCCAATGGGAACCCAAGACCTTCAGGTTCGAGTGGTCTTTTGCGTGATTCTTTAGGACAGTGGACCATAGGCTTTGTCGCCGAGATTGGAGTCGCTTCAGCAACCCTCGCCGAGTTTTGTGCCTTCTCCTACGGCCTCGATTTGGCTTCAAATGTGGGATGTCGAGTTGCCATTGTAAAATCGGACCCACATATGGCAATTCATCCCCTCGACAATAGACAAATCAGGTGCACCCCTACGTGACTTTACTTCCAGCGATTCGTAGAAAGCTAAGTCATGATTGGCTGGTAGCACCACTCATATACAGATTTGGAAGAGAATAGAGTCACATGCTGACTCTCGAAGCATATTATCGTCTATCTCTACAATATTTATGAACTTGTGAACTCGTCCTAGAACTAGCTACCATCATAAGTGATGACATTATGATAATTAATTAGTGTTAAACTCATTTTCTAGTTCGATTCGGTTATGTTTCAATCTCTAAATAATATAAAAGGCTTCCTACAAGAAAGCTTCCCCACAATTTTCGCATTTATATATACATTTTTTTTACCATAGCAGTTAGCACTTAGCACTGACAGTTGGGGTTTCCAGTTTAGACGCTTTTTATTTATTTTGCATTTTGAAATTAAATGGGCTTTTATTGGTAATATAATAATATACTGCTTTTTAGATAAGTTCATTGTATTGTTTCATATAATTAAATATCTTAATAAAATAGTTTCTTCCTTATGCAACAACTTTAAGGGTCTATCTATAAAATATATGAAGCAGATTCATGGGCTATTTTTGCAGGAATTCAAAAACTCTGGCTTCTAACTTCTAAGAGCTTCACGGAGGGGCAGTTTTGTAATTGAACTTAAGTTAAATGATGATGTGCATTTCACACCCTCCTCCACCCAGCATCTGGATCCGGCCACCTCTTTTGTTAGCATAAGGGCTTTGTCTATGGCCCAATATCGACTATTGCGGCCCACTGTTGTATCCAGCCCAGCGGTCGGAGAAGGGCTTTTCCTTGCGGCACAATCTTCAGTGAGAGGAGGAACTGCGGCGACGGCGGTGGCGATGAAGAACCAGAAGAAATGACATTGCTGCGTGAAACATGGAGAGATAGAGAGAGTTCATGCTATGCGACGGAGTCGCTGCCAGTGATTGGAACTTCCACACCGACTAGGGTCGACCTGCTCCCCATTCCAATTCACCATCTCTGAAACCTCCCTACAGCATGCACAATCAGTATCTCATAGTGAAAATGGAGAAAGTCGAAGACTAACTGAAGAAAGGACCGATTAAATAGCAAAAATATTAATTCTCCACCCCCAATTCAATCACAAATTCACAATCCCTATTTCCCTAGCGCGATTCCTCTTCTCGATTCATCCATTTTCTGATGTCCCTCTGCTTCTTCATCTTCTTACTTGCCTCTTCTGGCGAACGCCTAGCTGGGAGCGACCCACGAGGCCTCAGAATGGCGGAGTGGCGGATTAAAGAGGCGAGACTTGGAAGCGGGGTGGTGGTCGTCGCGACACCGGCGAGAGAGACCGGAGTCGTGGTCGGCGTCTCCTTTTCCTCCATGCACGAGCTGATGGCGGAGGAGATTGCGGCGGCGGCGGGTGGGGATGGGGAGGGGGCAGAGTGGGGAGGAGTGATGGAGAGGGTCTATGTTCTTGGCTGGTCAGAGGCCGACGAGAGTTGGGGGAGGGAGATTGCCTGAGGTTGTGGGTTTCGTCGAGGGAGATTAGAGGGGGGGAGTGAGTGAGCGGCTGCTAGCTATTGCATGTGGTGGGTGAGAGCAGGAGGGGTAGGTTTAGGGTTGAGTGGGTCTTGTGGGCTATGTTGTTTTAGGCTGGGTTGAACGAGGTTACAGTGTGGCCTGAGGGATTGGGTTGTGGTAGTGGGCTGGGCTTAGCTGGAGAAATTTATTTTAAGTTAAGGGTTAATACCTTGTTATGGCCTGAACTATGACCATGTAATCAACTTTGGCCAGTGGTTTGAGAAATTAACATCCTGGCCCGAACTATGCAGCATATAGACAAAATTGGCCTAGAGCGTGGTTTGACCGTCTATTTGGACGGTCAACACCGTTGACCGTTAGTCAATTGTCCATGTCATTGCATGTCACGCCTTGTCAGCCTATTAATCATTAAGAAATCAGAATTCAAACTTTTGACCTAAACTTATTATTTACAATTTAAACAAAAAATAATAAAAAATAATATTTGAAATTTTCCCTTATCCTCTCTCTCCTCACTCGGACCACACAACCCTCATCCCTTTCCCAATCGTGCTTCCCCCGACGGTCACCGGATCCGATTTCCTTCCCCCACTATCAGAGCCCCCTTCTCCACGTGGGTAACAAATTGTTAGGTTGATATCCAAGTCAAACGGGCAACGTCTGAATAATGCGGTGGCTGATTGCGAAATTTGGCCCTCCTCCGACTCACAAGCGGCGAGTTGCAGCTGTGTCAAGTAGATGAACTCGAGCACCGCCGAGATCTCTTCCTCGAACCGCCGGAACGGCCCGGTCTGGAAATCCAGCTTCCTCAGCTTGCACAATCTTTCCCCGAGCTCCATCATCGCTACTTTGTGGTTCTGATCATCATCATCATCGATTCGATAAAAAACCTAATTCGATTTTGATTTTCTCGAACCGACGGATCCCAATTCTACTGACCTGATTGAAGAGGTGGTGGAATCCGACGGCGCACTGGAGGATCCCGTGGAACAGAGTCCTGCTGGCTTCATCCTCCGCTCGTCGTGGCACTCGTAGTACTGCCGCCGGTTGAACTGGTCCACCGACGCTCCGAACGTCGCCGTCGAAGTTGAGCCGGAGGCGTCCTCCTCCTCCTCGTCCTCCGTGTAGCGGCCGCGGCGCCAGCTGTGGCATCGGAACGGCTTCCGGAAGCCGAGTCGCGGGCGCGATGTGGAGATGGATATTGGTGTGGGTCTGTTGTCCAAGGAAGCTCGAGAGAAGTGGAACGTGAAGTTGCGGTTTTCTCAGAGCAGTGTTGATATCCAAGTGACCGTCGGG